GTCAGTGGATCGCAAACCGGACACGCTTCTCTATCTAATCCTTGACTGTTATTTTTTTTTTTTTTTTTTTTTTTTTGTCTTTTTATTTTTTTTTTTTTCTTGTTCTTTTTTTTTTTCCACGTGTGCAGACACTGATACTCCTTCGCCTGCCTATTGAAGTGCCCACAGGATAGACTGCAAGCAACAGCGTCGCATTTGGGATGACTCTTGTTCTCGTGATTAGACAACGCACTGGCTGACGAGTATTTGAGTGGCGCTCCAATCCAGCCACCACAATGATGGTGGCGGCAAACGAACGCCATATATATATATTGCTCTCTCTCTCTCTCTCTCTCTCTCTTTTTATCTCTATCTCTATCTATGAAGTTCAACAAAATTAATTGATCAAATGCACACCGGTGGGCTTTTGATGAATTAAATTGGTCTTGGCGTAACGTTTCATGCCATGCCAAGTCAAGAGAGAAACATGCAAAATACAAAGGGTGGTCATTCAGTTCATCATCAAATTTGTTGGGATCTCTATTCACTTCAAAATAGTTTGGCAAATGAGAAGTTGGCCATTCATTCATTCACAACACACAAATATCTCCAATGACGATGATTACCAAGATTGAAGAACTTCAACTTCCAATAAAGGATAGTATATTGGATGTTAGTACTTATAACATATGACTAGAATGAGAGTCTGGTGTTGGGTGTTAGTGCATGAAGGAGTGGGCTTCAATCATAGCCCTCCACTCAATCACTCACTCGCTCACTCACTCACTCATGTGCCACAAACACTTGTTAACAAGAGGGGAGGGGCTGATGTAATCAACAACTTAAGGCCTTTTGACCCCGGTGATACATGTGATCAGAGGCTGGCCAGCCAGCCAGGCTACATCTATCCACATCAATATCATTAAAGTGAAGTCATTTAGTGATGTGTTTATACCTGATAAGGATACACACAACTATGAGTGATTAAGAGCAAGAGATAGAGATATACAGAGGGAGAGGGCGAGTACATCAATCAATCACAACATCTAATATTTATAATAATGATCAACTTCGATATCAATTTGATTGGTTGTGTTGGGCTGGTAAGAATGTGAGGTGACCTTTGGTACTCTATATTATATCACTTTTGATCACATCAATATATTATTCCATCTTTGATTGATTGGAGGTATTTTATTATTTCCAGCTTAATAAATAAATATTGATATAAGAATGAATAATAAATCATTATGTATAATATTATTAATATCCTTGCTGGTACTTGGCACATCAGGAAGTGGTGAGAAATGCGGTATGTATATCTCCATTCAATCAATCAATCAATCAATCAATCAATCAATCAATCAAACATACTAACAGTATCATATGAATAGATTGTGAATGTATAAAGGATGAACAGAAATGTCAACAATTGTATCAGAAGTGCCAGTGGATGAACTTTGTATCATGTTGTGGAGATAATGTAAAGATGTGCATTAATATTAATTCTACATGTTTGTCACAGAGCAAGACATCATGTGGAATTAATCAGGTCACTGGCCAGATAGTTGAGTTTTGGAGCTCCTGCCGACCATCAAAGAACTACACATTCTATGATCCACCCAAGGATACATGTGACTCTTTGAAGTGCAAGGAGAAGGACATGGAGTGTGTCTGGGGTCCCTACAATGCTACTTGTAACACTACCGCCACCTCGTGTTGTCCAAATGTTCCAAAGTGTTATGGTATGTTTAATCCCCTTGGAAGATCTTCAATTAATTGACTAACCTTTTTATGTTGTATATATACAGACCCATTTGCAAGTGTTGAATGTCCAAATGGAACTACTTCTCCAACTACAGGATCAACAACTTCCCCACCTCCAACTAAACCTCCTACTACWCCWCCWACWACWCCACCAACTACWCCACCAACTACWCCACCMACTACWCCACCAACWACTCCACCMACTACACCACCAACTACACCWCCTACAGCGCCACCTACAACTCCACCAACAACTCCACCAACAWCTCCACCAACTACTCCACCTACCGCGCCACCAACTCAGCCTCCAACTGAGCCACCTACCACACCGCCAACCGCACCACCTACCGCGCCACCAACTCAACCACCAACCGAGCCACCTACTGCTCCACCTACCGCGCCACCTACTGCTCCACCTACCGCTCCACCAACTCAGCCTCCAACTGAGCCACCTACTGCTCCACCTACCGAGCCACCTACTGCTCCACCTACCGCTCCACCAACTCAGCCTCCAACTGAGCCACCTACAACACCACCTACCGCTCCACCCACTGCACCACCCACCGCGCCGCCAACTGAGCCTCCTACCACTCCACCTACCGCGCCGCCAACTCAGCCTCCAACTGAGCCACCTACCACCCCGCCTACTACTCCACCTACCGCGCCACCAACTCAGCCTCCAACTGAGCCACCTACCGCACCACCTACTGCACCACCTACTGCACCACCTACTACACCACCAACTACACCACCAACGACTCCGCCAACAACTCCACCAACACCAGGCAAGCTAAATACAGAAATAGAAGTAGGCGTAGTAGATGGAGTAACATACGAGCATCCACCAGCACCTGCCGAATGTGACCATCCACATCACCATACCGATCATCATCCAGATCATCTTGCACGTCACACTCATATAAACTAAACATCATATCAGCTGACAGATGCAATGATGATCATCATAATCCATTAAACTACAAACCTTATTATTATTACTATGTATCTCTTTGTTGCTGGTTGATCCATTCCGAATGAATGAATGGGTGTGTGTTCGTGTGAGGTAATAGAAGGTAACAATCTTATCTCAAATTGCGAAGAATGAACCACCTCATTTGCTTTGTCCAGCGACTTGTTGTTTGTGTTAGATTAATCGGGAATTACATTGATTGCTCATTGTGTAAATATAAGTTAGAGATAATAGATAGATATAGATATATAATGCAACAGACTAAACAACTTAGAGATATAGTAGTACAGGTGAAACATGTCTCAAAGCGTACGTTGTATTGATACACTCAAGCTTGAGAGAGATACAACTTACTAACTTGTTGTCGGTATAATATCACTTAGATTATAATATACATGGTAGAGAAGATACTGTTAGAGCATTGAATGATATACATCTGGCTGAAGACTCTGAATTGCAACCAGTGCGTAGAGGAGAGTTTGTTATGTTACGTGGACCATCAGGAGGTGGCAAGACATCATTGTTAAACATACTTGGAACAATTGATAAGGCAACTGAAGGAACAATTGGTATGTTGGTCACATATTTGATGTCTTGGCAAGTCATCTTACTAACAACCATTACATTAGAGTTGTTCTCCAGTCCAATTACACCAGAGTCAACGGATGAATACTTATCAAGACTGAGACTTGAGAAGATAGGCTTTGTCTTCCAGACATTCAATCTGTTGGCTACAATGTCTGCATTTGAGAATGTCGAGTTACCAATGATCATTCTTGGCAAGCTTAACAAGTCACAGAGAAAGAAGAGAGCGATTGAGTTGTTAACATGTAGGTATCACTGAGTTGTGTGGAGTGAGCGATGTGAGGGGATTGGATGACAGGCAAGCATACTAACCTCTGGCACATCACTTAGTGGTCGGACTACAAGACAGACTGGACCATTTGCCATCAGAGTTATCAGGTGGAGAACAACAAAGAGTGTATGTGATCAAACTCCAACGTCCTCAGGCCAGGATATTAACAAACAAGGTCTAATACACAATAGGACTATCGCAAGATCATTGGCTAATGAACCAGAGATACTGTTGTTGGATGAACCAACAGGTGATTTGGACACAAAGAACACTGTGGAAGTGATGGACTTGCTTCTGGACCTTAATCTAAAGCTCAAGACTACATGTATCATGGTGACACATAATCCAGACATTGAATGCTATGCTGATCGCATCCTATATCTTGCCGACGGAGTCTTTGAGAAGCAGGCCATCAACATCCAGCAGACAAGACTGGACTACGACAAGTACATCGAGTATCTCAACTCACAGACTCATGGTGGTGGACATTAGTTAGTTAGTGGATACAAAGAATGAATATTAGAGACAGAGACAGAGACAGAGATAGAGATAAAGAGTCAGCACGCTGCTGGCTACTGTATTGTACATTTCGAACCCTTCTTGTTTGTGGATTCAAAGGTGATCTTTGGCCGGCTATTGCTCGAGTTCCTCAGTGGTGGCTTTGGAGACTCACTGCCAGGCGTGGAGATTGAACTGTCTGACTGATGTTCACTATCACCACCCTGTTGTTGTTGTTGTTGCTGTTGTTGCTGTTGTTGTTGGGAGATATTATTATTTACAGGAGACTCTGCAGACACTTGTTGATGAATGCATTGCTCAATCGCTTCTTCGAGAACATGTGAGTGATGGTCGGACGAGGCAAGGAACTCGCTAGAGTCAGTCAGGTCGCAGGTGGAGTCTCCCAAATGAAGGTCAATGGTTGGAGGTGGCATTGTAGGTATGAGAATAGGATCGCCAAAGTGTTGCTGAGACACTGGCAGTTGGAAAGTATCTTGTTCGTAGCCAAATATCAAATCGTCGTCGTCGTAGTTATCATTGTCGTGTTGTTCGTTGTTGCCATAAGCCATCTCGAGTGGGTCGAACTTTGTCTCTTGTGGCAGAGGAATGAATGGCTCCATAGTAGAGAATGTCTTTGTACACCATCTATTGATGTTATAGGATGAAGATATGTTAGTGTATGTTGTTGCTCGAGTGGACGCGACAGTCAGACAGACGGTACATACGGATGATTCTTGATTTGAGTTAGAGTAAAGCGAAGGTTATGATCAACCTGTAGGATTCCGCGGATTAGATTACACAGATCAGTGTCGATATCGTCTGGGAATGCGACATTGCATCTTGATATATTCTCGAATAGTATATACATGTTTGATCCCGAGAATGGGAACTTTCCAATAGTCATCAGATATCTGTTGATTATGATCAATCGTGTTCGTTAGTTTGATGGTCGATCATCACATGAATGAGAAGTGAGAGGAGTATTATACATACAATGTGACACCCATTGCCCATATATCAATCTTGAATGGTGATAGACTACGATGATATGATGCCAGCTCGGGAGGTTGGAAGGCTGGTGAGCCATAGCTTCTGGATAGACACTCTAGGTCGTTACCCAACAGCGAGCTATCCTCTGAAACGCCAAAGTCTGTCAACTTTAGTAGTCCCTCATTAGTGAATAGTATGTTATCTGGCTTAATATCTTTGTTGAACATATGATTGATTGATTGATTGATTAGTATGTTGTGTACAAACAAGTTAACAACGATCATTCTTACCTCTATGCAGTATCTTTTGTGAATGTATATACTCTACGGCCTCGAGAAGTTGATTGAATATCCTTTGTGCTTGGGCCATTGGAAGACGATGTGTTGGGGATGCTTCGAGTAGACCTTGTAGAGTGCCTCCGCCAATATACTCGTAGACAATGTACATCTTTCCCTTCTCCTCGATAGTGAAGTGATCTATAAGCTTGATGATATGCTTGTTGTGCAGCTTCTGTGTGATGTTGATCTCCTTGAGTACTGATGCCTCACCGCCCATAACCTTCTTCAAACGAGCTCTCTTTAATATCTTTACGGCCACTCGCTTCTGTGTGAATGTATCCATTCCATCCTTGACCTTTCCATAAGCACCTTCGCCCAGTACCTCACCCAATAGGTAATGCTTTACAATCTTTGGTGCACGTCTCTTATATTGTATTCCATCAATATCATCCAAATAAACGATGAAGTCATTCGCATGTTGTTGTTGTTGCGGTACCTCCATCATCATCTCTTGTCTATTCTCTGTATCTTATCTGTCTTTGTCTTTGTATTATTTGTTTGATTGAGATGAATGAAGTGAAGTTGAAGTTGAAGTGAAGTGAAGTAATATATTATTATATATATTATATGTATGTGTATATGTATGTGTAAGTGTATGTGTGTGTATATGTAAATCACGTGAATGTCAACAATGTCAAGTTGTTCAACCCTTTAGGAGGTAGTTGGATTGAATTGAAGGGAAGTTGAGAAAGACACACACAGTCCATTTCACGATAGTGTGTGATACAATATCAAATACATACACGCTACACACTCAAGATGGGTTTAACTTTTATTGGGTTGATATAAATTTTATTTATATTTATGAAATTTCCACCCTGTGTGTGCATGTAGCTTGTCTTAGTTCCGTTTTCATACATACACATAGACGCCAATCAAAACATCAACTTTGCAACCTAACCAACACTACTTAGGCTAGGTCCAACCCCCTGCCCAATAAAAAGGAAAGACAGGTGAGTGGAAATTTGGATTTGGATTCCAAAATGATGTTGTTGTCATGGTCCAAAAACACTATTTTTTACACTTGTTGGGGGCAGGAAGGAGAAGGGTGGTAGCCGAGCGAGGAAGAACGCCTCTTTAGGTCTGTGTTGTTTGACACATCCGGATCACGAGCCATGCACATTCAGTTCAGGAAGGTAAACACGCCTGGGCCAGATCGATACGTATCAGGAATGTGCACCATTGCATATGCATGCGTGGCATCATTGTCAAGGTCATCCATCGAATGGCAACAGGCAGGTAGGTGTCGCAGCCCTTACTTACTTTCCGGATTGAGAATGATTGAATGAGCGAGCGAAAGAAGCGAGTGTGTGTGTTTGTTTGTTGGATGTGTGCCCAGGCAACACAATCATGGAGACGCGTCAGACAGTCGCGTCTAGTTTATGCCTCCATTTGACTTGGACTTGTGAATATACAACATGTGATCAATCAATATCTTGTTAAAGTCTGGTATTCCTACATATCCTGTTAATTGTGTCAAGCGTCAATGTTAGGCCTCATAGTGATTGATTGAAGAGTCTGATCGATCGATCACTTAACATACCTGGGAAGTAGTTTACATCAATGACAGCGATCTTCTTGGTTGTGATGTCAGTGATGACGTCAAAGCCGAATAGGGTTAGACCGAGGTCTTTCTGGATGCCCTTGGAGATGGCAACGAGGGAGTCACGTGATGGTATGTCCACCATGGATTCGTCATAGGGTATCTCTGGCAATAGGTTGGCAGGCAGTGGCTTCTGACTGTCGAATGTCAATGTCTCTGTCTCTGTAGTGTTGAGGTTCCTCAATGACTTCCTATGAACGACGTTCAAATAGTCACCAATTACAAACACCTTGTAAATTATAGCATTGTGATTAATGTACTCTTGAACGAGCATTGGTAGCTTCACAGTCTTTGATCTGCTCAACTCCTCCTTATTAAAGAATATAGCCATCTGATGTGATTCTCTTGATCCACATGCCTGTACAGTCTTGCACACTATGTCGTTCATTCATTGTTTGAGTTAGTTGTTGTTCACGCTCAATCATTCAATCTTCAACGCCATGACATACCAACTGGGAACATGATGTCCTTCAACTCTTCATCATAGTTTGGCTTCTCTTGTTCGAGGACTAGGAACTTTGGATTCTTGATGTTCAGGTTGGCAGGTAACTCATTGAGTTTGTCCAGTAGGTTGCTCATTGTCAGTCTGTCAACCAATGGCTTCTGACATGCCAAAGGGTCAACCTCAATGAGTGTAGGATACTTCTTCAACAAACACTCCATCATATTAATCTTATGAATGTTGTCAACATTGTCTGGATCGGACAACTCATCGGTGAACTTATGAATGACAATATCATAAGGTGATTTGTCTGGTAGATCTGTTGATTCAAGATTCATTGGTATACATGTTATATTATAAGTGTCCCTGTGTTTATCAATATTGACAGTCAGTCAGTCAGTCAGTCAATCATCATCATCATCATCATCAAGCTATGTTTGTTTGAATGAATGAATGATTGTTAACCTACTTTGCGAACTGTACAATACTGGCCCACTGCATAGCCTCCAGCTTCTTCTTGGACAAGTAATATCCAATTGTGAATGATCCCTCTTTCCTTTCCATTCTTTGTTAATCTGCTTGTTGTTTGAACCTGTATATCTCGCACATGTGCGTGTTTAGTTTGTTTGAAGTTGAACCCGAAACACACACAAGCTTAGTCTTCAACTTCATAGTGTTGAAGATCTTTGTTTTTTGTGTTGGACTTGTTTGAAGTTCAACTAAAACTTGAAATTGAGAGGACTCTCCTGATTTGTTGATTTGAAACGTGGTGATGTGAACGTTCTCAATTCATGTTCCTCAGTTCTCATCACTTCTTTTTCATTCGATTGCACATGATAAATGTTCTCAATCATTTTAATAGATCTAAGGTCGATCATTTATTAATACCGAGGAATGTTCATCATCTTATTCATCAACGATGTGTAGGCATATCTAAAAATATCCATGACAGTCAAATCATGAAGAGGCATGATGAACGACCTTTGTCATTCCAGAATATTCCTTTTACCCAAGGAAACAAGTGACCAAATCCAGTTTTACTATTATTTAAAGAGATCCAGTTATCTCTATCCAACCATCAAACAACAAACAAACAAATACATCCAAATCAAACAAATAATTAAGATTCAAACAATCAAGTTTATCCATTCCCATAATAATATTCTAACAATGTCCACTCCAACTCTTTACTATGTAAGTATAATGACATGATTGATTGATTGATTGATTGAATGATTGATTACTAATATATATCCATATTTGGAAATTATTAGTTTGATGGCCGTGCTCGTGGTGAGGTCTCCAGACTGTTGTTCGCCTATGCTGGCAAGAAGTTCGTTGATACTCGTGGCGCATTCCCTTTGGAGGAGGAGCTGAGAGCCAAGACACCATTCGGTCAGCTGCCATACTATGTTGATGACAACATCCAGATTGCTCAGTCTGTTGCCATCGAGTTCTACCTTGCCGACCAGCTCCAGCTTGCTGGCTCATCCACTATTGAGCGTGCCCAGATTCTCCAATACACATTGTTGCCAGCCGATCTCTATGCACCATACTTCCCAGCATACCTCACCAACAACGAGGCCGCTTTAAAGCTGTTCACAAGCGAGACCGCGCCAAAGGTGTTTGCCAAGTTGGAGACCCTGTTGGTCAAGGCTGGCGGTGCATACCTTGTTGGAAACAAGTTGTCCTGGGCTGACATCAGCATCTTCAACCTCTTGGACTTCTTCCACCAGCAGCCAGGCAACCTTATCGAAGTGCTCAAGCCATTCCCAGCCCTCTTGGCCTTCCACAAGCAGATTGCTGCCGTCCCACAGTTCGCTGAGTACTTGAAGAACAGACCAACCACAATCTTCTAAGATCCTTGTCATCATTGTCATCATCAATCATCAATCTGTGTATTAAATAAATCGATATGAACTTATAAGAAGTTTCCAAAGAGATACACTCCAATGCGTACCCAAAGTGGGATGCTCCTTGACTTGAACAACTCGAGGTTGGCGGGCTGTGTGTGGGTCCAGAGATAGGCTCGCTCATCATCCATCTTGCGCTGTAGTGTTGGATCCTCGGTGATGAGGATGATCTGCGCCTCAAGATCCTTCTCGCAACTGCGTGAGCCAAAGTTTGGACTGCCAATCATTGTGACGCTGGGCACGGCCTGGCCCTGAGCCGTGATCCACAGACCCTTGGCATGATACGTCCACTTGCTCCTTATATATTCGTCCACCTTGATTCGAGCAGAGTTGTGTGTGTCCTTGACTCGCTGAAGGAAGTTGCGCTCAATGATCGCGTATGAGTCGGGTATCACGCCTGATATGCCCTTGGCACCGTAGAAGCCATTGGTTTCCGGGGAGCAAGTGATGATGTCCATTGCGGGCTTGCCCGAGAGTAGCAGGCGCAGGTAGTTCTTTGTTAGATTGAAGTATGGCGATGTGATGTACAGCTTGGAGGTGGGCGGCACGCTCTCAAACATGTATGATGTGCATTGTTCATCGTGTCGTATGTTGAACAGGCCCATCTGTATCGTTGGGAAGATCCATGTCTTGTTGTTGCAAATCGCACTCGCCTCGAGGCTATTCGTGGGCGAGCATGCGCTGCCATCGTCATTGATTGGGTGGAATACGTTTGGTTGCAATAAGGTCGATAGTCGTTGTTGAGCGTGTTGTTTGAATGCTGATGAGTCGGACACTGGGTCCAGCAAGCCAGTGGGCAGTCGCACATGTCCCGAGACATCCAGCTTCATTGAAAGGTCTCCAATCGTTCCGATCACCCTGCTAAAGTACTCGGCCAATGCTGAGGAGCTGCGCACCCAGGCATAGCGGTCCTGTCGATTGGTGAAGTAGTCCTTGGACAGGTTGGCGCCACTTATGAGCAGGTTATCATCGAATACGTAGGCCTTGATATGATTGACACCAATCACCTCATTGATGCGCTGTGGCAACACTCGTTTGAGTATGCCATTGAGGTTAGGCGTGTGGAACATGCTGATGACCACTCGATCGGGGAACTGTTGAAGCAGTGGCTGCAGCATCGTTGCTGAGCTCACATGCTTTGTTGGGTCGGTGTCGTGCGGACTCTTTCTCGTGCCTCGCAGACCGTCCAATAGTATATGCACTTGCAGGTTAGGATGACGTTTACATGCAGCCACCAACTCCTCGACCAATCTAATCTCTTGCTTGCCAGTACCAAGATACAATGATGACAGTACCACTCTACGTTCACATCTCTTCACGCCCTCTATCAACTGTTCATAAAAGTCATTAGGCTCGCGTATAAACTCTACATTATTGGAATCGACAGCGAATGCAGGTCCAAGTGTTGACAGTCTCAAGAATGATTCATTCAAATATGTGTCCTTGTATACACTTGTTGTTGTTGATGATGTTGATGTTGTTGTCGATGTTGAGTTGTTACTGTTACTGCTACTGCTGTATGAACGTCGTGAATGATTTCCAACATCACAACCCTGATTCAATGAATGTACATGTCTATTACTCATACTATTACTATTATTACTACTATTACTTATGGGAGTAATATGTTGTGTGGCTTGATTACATAGTTGTCTTCTAACAGACACTACTACTGATAGTGATGTTCTCAACAGTTGTTGTTGTTGCATTGAATGATGTGTTGTGTGTGTGAATACGTGTGTTGTCACCTGTCAGTTTAAAGTCGAGTGAGTGTGAATGTGGACTGCCTTTTCGTTGGAGACACAAAGAATTGATGGGATGTGGGAGTTGTGGAGTGGCTCTACTACGTGGACTTTGTGATTGATCTAGATCTAGGATTAGACTTACTATATTTGTTTAGAACTCAAGTAAATAATCAAATGGTCCGGTATTATTAAGTTGTTTCCCTCATCCAATCCAAAAATGGAAAGTAGTGATTGCCATTTTTGTTAGTTTCCCTGTGATCGATATCGTTAAGCATACCAAAAAAATGATTAATTCCTGATTGTAGTTCTTGGGAGACTTTTATGATTAGTACAGTAATCAATCCATCTTTCGTTAATCTGGTTATAAAATGTATAAAAATAATAATATAAATAATATTATAAATATGTATCACTTTCTTTGTTTGGACTTTAATATCTAATATCTCCTTGGTTGAGGAGGTCGAAGCCATTACAATTACATGGAATACTTTAATCAATTGTACATATACATTGAATTGTCAATTGAATGATTCTGCCAATTGGATTGGAAATGTATTGCCAACCAACCAGGATGATGTTGGAATAGATATGACATCATCAAACATTCATTTATCACAAATTAATATGATTGGTGATATTTCATTCAATAGTCTAACTGTACTTGGTCATAATAATGATGACAACATCCAGGGAGAGGCATCAAAGTTAACCTTTAGAATGGAGAATGGCAAATTCAAAGTCAAAGAGGCACGCTTCACCAATACATACCTCTCATTATCTGGTGTCAATGTTACCGGTGACATTAAGATGGGCAACAACTCACTTTGTTACCTCTATCTATCAATCATTGAAGACTCAATCTCGATATCTGGCAACAACAATCTCAATCTCTGGAAATCATACGTGGCCAACTTGAAGTCAGAGGGTACCTCAGCATCTTCGATGATTCCTTCATCTCCATTTGACAAAGTTGGGAAACTTTTCGATGATGTCGATATTGGTAGTGCTCAAGTCTCACTGCCCGCCTCAGTCTTTGACATGCGCTTTGCATCGTGGACCGTAACATCGTTCTACAATTTAACTTCGATAAAAGGTTACCAATGTCGTCTAGTCGTCTCGGGTACTGTTCATGTCCTTGGTAGCATTGACCTTGGTGTCAATGGAATATGGACATTCGAGAAGTTCCTCAGCACAGGAGGTCGCCTTGTACCCTTTCGCGACGATCACATCTGGTCCACCATTCCAACTTGGCAATGGACTCCTCGAGTCTGGAAACATCATGATCAACAGTGATCTTAGTACCAACTCCAGCAGCACGTTAACATTTAGGCAACTCAATCAGTTTGATGCCCCTGTGATGGTCAATGGAAAGACATCGATACTCAACTCATCAATGATTGTCGACTTTGAATCAATCACACCCTTGCCCAACATCCAATACCAACTCGTGTCAAGCACCAACAACATTATCGTGTACGTCGCCAACCCTACCATGGACCAAGTGACCTACACCAAGACCCAAGACAACTCAGTGTACAAGATCAAGGCATCAGGCAATCAACTCTACATTCAGTTTGGCAAGTCATGTTCCAACTCCATTGGCAACTCTGACTGCACAGGACATGCAACCTGCAATGATGGTATGTGTCAATGTGATGATTACTATCAAGACCCAGGTTGCAGGGCTGTCTGAAGAATTGTAGTGGACGTGGTGAGTGTGTTGTACCTGGTCCGTCTGGAATGTGTAAATGTCAACCAGGCTATGTCGGCGCATACTGCACATCAATCACTTCTTCAGACAACTGTCTTGCCTCTCGTGGTTGTCTTTGGTGTTCATCTAGTAACACATGTCAACAACCTACTACAACTTGTGAAGGTGGTCCTCCAACTACAACTGCTTCATCAACAACTACTGGTGACAACAACAAACCAAATAATGCAACATCCACATCATCAACAAACATTTTTGTGATATCACTGATGACCTTCATCAACATCCTCATTGTATTACATTTCTAATAAATATAGACATAGATAGATAATAAGTGTTGTTGTAGTTGATGATGTACTATAAATAGATGATGTAGATGTTCCCTCGTCTTTTCATTCAGTTGGGCCGGCTAACAAGTCATTGGGTGGTGTGGTTCCGAAGAATGAGCTTCGATTCCTTGTCTTGTAGCCCAAAACAGAGCAAATGTGGTGTTGTAAAGGGGTCAACCCAAGACCCATTTGATTGGTTGGGCATGGCTTTGGTCATCCATCAGTCGGGTCCAAGATCTTTAACTATGTTTACCGAGCATTATACATATTCCCTAAACAACACACATTCATTCATTCAAACTTTCAATCATATTGTTCATTCAATCAACCAATCAAACAATCAAACATACATATATATAAAGATGAACAAAGATACAAGGTTATTGATCATAATTTATATCAACTCTTTGATGTTGTTGATGATTCTAGATCATGGTAATATAGTCATGGCACGTACAGCAGTATGGAATACATCATCAAATTGTACAGTTACACAAAGATGCATGTTCAATGATACATCAAACTGGATCAATAATACAATGCCAAAGGATATCGATGACATTGCAATAATTGATTACTCATCATTCTCAATGTCATCATCATCATCATCAACATGTAATAATAATTTGATAGAGTATGACATTCATATCATAAATGATATACGATTACAATCAATCATTGTACAAGGACTACCTCAACATTATAATAATAATCAATTTATATTATCAATATATATATCAAACGTTGCATATCAAGTTATGGATTCATCATTCAATGATGTTAGAGTGAATATTCAAACTTCTAATATCACTTTTATACATCTTGGTAATAATACTGTTACAGGATGTAGTGGTAGTTTGATTGATAACCTATCAGTATCAGGTAGTTCTGACATAACAATATGGAGAAGTGATATAATCAACTTTATTTCAAGGAATAACAATATAATACCAATTGGAGAATCATCAATATATCGTATAAACATGTTAATGGAGACTGTTATATTCAATCATATCAATATATCATTACCATACACTGACATTACCATGTCCTTTGCAACATGGTCCAAATCATCAATCACACTCAACTCTACAATCATTGGTTATTCATGCTCAATCAAGCTATCTGGTACATTACATTTGGAAAGTGATTATCTCAATATTGGTAATGGTGCAATCATGTTTGAATGGACATCTGCTGGTAAATCAGCACCTGGAAGACTCATAACATCATCACCATCATCATTACGTACAATTCTAATTGGAACTATAATGCTGAGTAATGGTTTATTACAACTTGGTGATGGAATGTTGGATATCAAAGGTGACCTGATTGGAATGGATTCAGGTGGTACTATATTATATAATAATAATTTGAATAATTATCATTATTATTCACCAGCAATATTAGTACGTGGAAAAACATCAATATTCAACACAACAGTTATAATCAATTTAGACAGTATCAAATGTTCAATATCAATTATTATCATCATCAATTGATATTATGTACGTTCCAATTAGTACACAAGTCAAATGGACAATGGCGAATGACACTCAAACATATAAACTAAGTCAGAGTGATCGTACAGTTAGTTTATCATTTGGCAATAATTGTATCAAGGATAGTGATTGCATTGTTGGCCAGCACACAATATGCCGTGATCTACTATGTCAATGTGATCACTTTTATCAGAATCCTGATTGTTCAGTATTGGCATGCTTCAAGAATTGTAGTGGCAGAGGACAATGTTTGCAACCTGGACCATCTGGATCATGTCAATGTCAAGACGATTTTGTTGGAGCGTATTGTGAGATGCCATCCATAACATGTCATTCACAAAACAATCAACTCAATTGTGATACCATATCAGGATGTTCATGGTGTACTGCGACCAACACATGTCTGGATCCATCGACCAGATGTAGTGCTGTTAGTATCACGACTGGAAGTGGAAGTGATGGTATAAGTGGAAGCAGCAGCAGCTATATGGACAAAGACAAGGGACTGAGTGGAGCACAAAGTTTCACGATACCATGGATATTATCCATTATGATGTTTATAATAAATATTAATTGTATGTGAGCATGCTCCAGCCTTGAGGATATGGTATTGATTTGTCGACTAGGGTATGTTGTAGGGTGTTGAGATTGAATGTGTACACTTGGTACTTGGTGAACAGAGCCATGTATCCATTGATTGGATCAAATGATGTTGAGAGGTTTGGCATCTTGGTGTAGGGACCCGCCAGGAACAACATTTGTGTTGCCAACTTATGATGAGGATTGATCTGACCAACATATAGGAATTCAAATCCAGGCATCTGATCCCAGATAACAACGTATAGTTTTGATTGATAAACATATAGGTCGACATTTTGCCACACATCATTAGAAGGCATTGGAAGATGTGCTGTGAATTGATGTATCAAAGTATTATTTGTTGTACTAAACATTGTAACAAATAGATTATCATTATAACAAACTGTATAGATAATATTCGAAGCTTGATCATAATAACTTGAGAACATATTTCTCTCATATTCTCCCCATGTTACATTTGTTCCTCTCTTTGTCCTATTGATTCAAGAATATAAGATATTGATTGAATGGAATGGGATTGAAGTGTACTTACATTATTGAGTCTGGCATAAATATATTGATAACCATTTCCAATGATGAATAACGTCCCTCTCTTTTCTCTACCATGTATAGGGTATCATTATACATACCAACACTATAAGGGTATTGATTTCCATTTGGCATCCAAATGAAAAGATTACTATTATCTTGTTTCAAGGTAAGTGAGTTTGTCTTGGATATTTGAATGGGAGATAGTTAGTCAACAAGTCGGCTCAAATGTATGTTTGACTAAACATACCAATGATTCATATAAGAATGTTTGGAATATTGTTAAATCACCTGAATAATACATGAAGAGTAATAGATAGTCATTGTCGGATACAGGTGATAATACACCCATCAGTATACCAGTGTAGTTGCTTGGAAGTACTGATCTATGAAAGGTTTCACCACTTGTTACATTAAACCTTATGAACTCCAATGGACTATTACTAAAACAATTCATGATAGCAGGAGATTCATCTTCCAACTTGAAGAGATAATATTAATAAGATGTCTACAGTGCATTGTAGACATGAAATTTCTCTAAATAAACTTACACAGTTAGTTGTAGTTATTGCAATAAGCAATATCAAAATAGTTATGTAGATCATTATTATTATACGTATTGAATGATTGATTAATTGAGTTGATCTTGTCTCTAAAGTAGTACCACAAACAGCTCTCACTGATTTCCAAGGATTATCCAAGCGAAAAGTTAAAGCCAAAAGGATCGAGTCGACATGTGTCTATTTGGTCACTTGACAAAAGAGAGATATGTCTCCTTCTTGTTATAGGGTCACAGGATAGATGTAAACTTCAAGTTTTAGGTTCAAACTTGACTGGTTAGATCAATCACTTAAACAATCAATCAATCATTCTTTCAATTAAACATCAGTCAGATAACAATGAACAGCAATAAGATATTACTATTGATTATGTCTTTTTATGGACTTATAACAATCTCTCAATGTGTAGGTTTTCCTCTATCTATACCCCTACTTACTTACTTACTAACTATTATGATCTTGTTAGTTTTCCAAACAACCTACTGAACTTAATTCTTTTAGTAGTCAACCAGGAATGTTCACAAGATGGAATTTGACAAGTGGACAAGTGATGAGAGAACATGAATTTCCAAACCCATTGAACCAGTATCAAATACTAGGTATCCTTTCAATGGATGGTGATAACTTTGAACTCTTTATCAATGTCGATGGAACAAAGAGTACCCCTTACTTCCTCGCAGTAGTCAACTATAACTCAATTGTATGTTCACAACTCCTGGACTTTGATTGTCATTGAAGGTGTCAGGGTGCCGGAGTCGGTACTTCAATCTATCACTTTATTAATTTACCTTATCTCTCAGTACAACACACTACAGTTCAAGTATCAAGTGGAACTAGTTAATTATCTTATTACTAATGGCTTTGATACAACCAACTTTGGTTATGTCTATCCCAATTATTATCAAATGGCTTGTTACGTCAATGCAGATGGAAATTATTATGCTGTATCACAATTGATTAATATGATCAAAGGTACAATGTAAGTAATATTGAATTGTGGATAACTCATTCAATCACTGACTCTCAATCACTCTCAAACTATCAATCAATCAAATAGAGATGTAACAAACATATATATGTATGTAGCCCCTAACTTGGCAGCCAGCTATTTTGATATAGATGCCAATATATTTTATATTGCCGGACTTACTGGTGGCGAAGAGATGGAAGTTGCAATGATAAGTGGTATAGATAATAGTATGATAGGTAATTTCTCTGTTGGTTTAAATCGGACAACATTTAATATAGACTTCTTGGTCTGGAATATCTTTGTCTACAACTCAAAGTTGTACCTGGTCACTGGTTGTAACGGACCAAATACCTTATTAATTCTAGAGATTAATGTCGAGATTTATACATCCACAACATTGTTGAGCCTGCCAAATATTGCCATTATACCTCCAATTTATGATGCAGTCACTGGAATCATCGTGGTGATCACAAGTACTGGCACCATCACCTTTGACCTCAACTCATTCAATTATACAACTCAGAATTCTGTAACATCAATAGCTAATACATCCATATTCAGTCCACAATGTGCACCTGGATATACTTAATTAATTAATAAATTTATTGTAAAGTGTTGGTAAAGTACCTCAACATACATATGTTGGCATGGAATATCTTTTGTATCCTATTCCAACCAATCTGTTGTGCGTGTTGAAGTTGTGCCAGATCCTGTGCAAATGATTGATTGCCGCTGAAAAGTACATCGCCATGCACTTGAACAAAGACATTGACCAGAGTCTGCATCATGTCAAAGTTATCATTGGTCCTCAACTCGTAGCAGAGGAAGTCGATCAAGTTGCGCAGGTCGGCACCATCATTATCAACTGATGACAATGATCTAATCTCATAATCAATCGCCGATGGTGTCATATTTATCAATGTCTCTGTTAACTTGGTATCTGTATTTGATTGATTGTTTGATTTACAAGGATGAGTGAGTGTTAGTTGTGTCCAGTTTGATTGAACGAATGACTCCTTGGTACGTACAGTTCTGAGTCCTGGCACTCTTCTCGAGGGCCAGTGACAGTTTGGTCCTGGCATCGTTGGCAAAGCTCTTGGAGAAACCACGGGAATGCTTCTGCTTCTTTACAACTACCTTGTCGTCGGTGGGCTCGTCTTCATCTTCGTTGTTCTCTGGAGTGGCCCAGTCTCCCCATCCAGCAGTTGCCTCATCATCCTCCATATTCTCATCTGATTGCTCTAGTTTGATGACCTGTTCAGTGGTTGAGGCCTTGGCAGCTGCCTCCTCCTGTGGTGTCGCAAACTTTGGTTCCAGACCAGGCAGTGTTGTGAGGAAGAATGGTGCCAACTCTGGCTTTGACTGTGCCTGAAGTGGCTTGTTACGCTGTTTGATTACATCGAGATTGAGCAGTGTCTGCCACTTGGACTTGGTGGTCTGGGACATGGTGATTGAGTTGCCAATCTGTGGATGATGGACGATGGTGTGTCCCTCCTCTTGCTCGTCCACATTCATATCGACATCGACATCGTCCTTCTCAATGTCGGGCACGCCGTGATCCTGATCGGCCTCCTCAGCATTGGCTACATCTATGCTGTTGGCCTTGTTTGAGCTGTCCTTGATCTGATCGGTGTGATGTGAGGGCAGCTCCAGGAACGATGGTACCTCTTCGGGCTTGGTCAGAAGCACCGAGCCAAAGTGTGATTGGTTGGTCCACAGGAATATGGGCAACTCGTTGGCGTGTGTGGTGATGAGGTACTCGCTCTTGGGAGAGAATGTGAGCGAAGTGATTGGCTTGTGCACTTGGAACCAGTCCAGCATGACGTTGGCGGGGATATCATAGATTCGCACTACATTGTCATCGCTAGCCACAATCAGCCAACGTCCGTCGTGGCTGAAGCACAGGTCCTCAACGCGCTTGCCAATGTTGAATGTTCTGACGGGTGTATCCAGGTCGCACTGCGACACGTCAAAGACACGCACGATAAAGTCGTCACAGGCGGCAGCGTACAAGCTCGACTCGGGATGGTGCACAAGGGTGGTGGCGGGCTCGTCCAGGACGATGGACTTGTGCAGGGTCATGTCAGCCAGGTTCCAAAGCGATATCCTGCAGTCGATCGACGCTGACACGACGAAGCGGTTGGTGGCATCAACAAAGATCGATGTGATGGCCTTGGCATGTGAGTGATTCTTGGATGCGGATCCACGCTTGACACCACTCTGCACGTTGAACTTGACCAGCTGGCCGTCGACGCAACCAACAATGGCAAAGTGACCACAAGACGACATGGTCACGGCAGAGATGTTGGTGCTGAGCTGCAGCTTGTGGCTGCCAATTGTAAAGTGCGCCACGTTCCATGTATTGACGGTGCGCGACTCGGCCACGAACGAGACGGCCGTGTCAAAGAATCGGTTGTGGCGAGGGTTGAGCGCGAACGACTGCAGGTGGTCCATGGGCTCCTTGCCCGGGCTCAGATATCGATTGGAAAAGCTGAAGTTCAAGTTCATCAGTCGCAGGGACGTTGGCGACAGCGTGAGGATGTCGTCCAGGTCGCAGTTGAAGAAGTCGACGCCTGTGGGTGGGGTCGAGTGACCACTGCGCTCGCGAAGAACGGTTGGCTCGTTGAGCAGGGTGTTGTGGAACGTCCAGACCTTGATCGCATTGTCTGCGCCGTTTGATATGAGGATGGGCTCGTCGCGCAGGTACTCGGCCGAGCCGACAGCTGCCTTATGTGCTCGAATCGACACGACCAAACGCTTCTTCTCCAGGTCCCAAATGTTGATCTTGCCCACGGTGGTGCCTGTGGCCATGTGCGCCGTTCCGTCCGAGCGGAACGAGATCGAGGTGACGCTGCCCTTTTGAGTGAAGGTAGCGACGGTGGCGTCTTGCTTGAGGTCGTGCAGGATGATGCGGCCATCGACCAGACCCACGGCCACTATATTGACGACGGGCGACTGGACGAGCGAGACGACGCTGGCGCCCCAGCCATTGAATGTATAAATGAGCTTGCAAGTCTTCAAGTTCCACAATTGCATCTTGCCCTGCTGTGAGCCCAGCAGTACCTTGTTGAAGTAGCCCTGTGGATGCACGATCGATGTGATTGTGAACTGTGCTGCCGAGTGCACCGGCAACTGCTGGTCCAAAAACAGACGAGTCCTCAAGTCCCACATCAGTAGCTCATTATTCTTTGACAATGACAGCAATATATTATCCAACACCATCAACTGTGTAACTGCCGCTGTATGTTTAGAGAATGTTTGTTCGATGTTCTGATAGTGATTGAGTGAGTGTCAGCGATTGAATGAGTGATCGAGTGAGTGATTGATAAAACATACTTGTCCTTTCCAAATTATGATATCATTCTTGCGGTTGGTCAAGAAGTGTTCCTTGCCATAGAACTGCATTGTCTTGATCTTTCCATCCTGTGCATTCGATGTGAGGTATGGTATAAGCTTATCTGACTATATTTGATTGAATGATTGATTGATTGTGATGATTGAGTGTGATTGAGTGATTGAGTGAATGAATAAAGTTAGACAGTTTATCAAACAGATAGTGATCCCTACTTAGGTGGAGCTGTGTACGTACACTAATGAGTTGGAATGAGTTGCCAATTGAGACCATGATGGTGTAGATCAAGTTCTCTGATCGCAGCTTGAATGGTGCATTTGATGTAATGTAGCCCAATGCTCTGTATGGTTTGAATAAATGTTTCTCCATCTCTATGTATATGTCTAAGTATATTTATTATTAATGATTATAACATCGAATGAATGAATGCAATCACTCTTCGTCTTCATCAAAAAACATCACAAATTTCAAAAAACGAACGAATCGAATCAAACCCAAGGTCGAGGGTTGTTTTGAGCTCAACCCTTGCCCTTACCCTTGCCCTCACCCTTGCCCTCTCTTCATTCACACAACACAATACTTATCATTGTAATAACATCAACATCATACTTTAGTCATCTCACCACTTGGTCTTGTAAGAGAGGATGTAGTCGCGAATCATTTCGATACGAGTGATTGGAACGAATCCACCTTGAAGCTTGCGATTGAGTGCCAGTAATGTGTTGTCATCGATCATTCTGATCTCCATTGGCGTGAAGCTATCTCTGGTCAACTGTACATGTATCACTCGGTTGGGCGATGACAATAGATAGTGGGAGCTGAAGCATTTGACTCGGATGTTGATCACCGACTCGGGGATGCTGCCGGCTACCAGTTGCTGGCCGTGGTCGTAGGCTAGGCCCAGCGAGAGATGCGTGACAGAGTCGGGCACGACACCTGGATTGAGTTGTTGGTTGTAGTCATCGCCCAGCGCCAAGTAGGTGATTGAGTTGGGCAGGAATCCAGGCTCCAAAAGTTGGTTATATCGCGCGCCAAACACTAGTTGCCTGACGCCGTTTGGAATTACACCTGCTGTGAGGACCTGATTGAACTTGATGCCAAATTCCAGCACCTGCAACGTGGATGGCAGAACGCCAGCCACAAGTTCTTGATCAAACTCACTGCCAAAGATAAGGGTCTCGAGCCTCGCGGGCAGGTCGCCAGGCGACAATGGCTGATTGAAGTTGCTCGACATCCGCAAATAGAGTATCGAGTCGGGTAGGTTATTGATTGCATTGTTGAAGGTGACGCCAAGATTGATATTGGTTACTGAGTTTGGGATTGTGCCTGGTGCAATTTCCTCGTGGAACGCAGTGCCAAAGCGTAGGTATTCAACACTGACGGGGATGGAGCCGGCCTCCAACGATGAGTTGCTTTCAATGCTGAGCTTGGTGACCGAGGGTGGGATGATGTCCTCAACCAGCGGTGGAAAGTGGGCGGCCAGTTGAGTGACATGAGGCGGGATGGCAAAGGGCTTGAGGTTGTTGGCGTAGCCCAAGCGCACCTTGCGACATGATTTCGGCAGGCTGATGTTCTCCATTGGCACCCTGTAGCAAAGGCCTAGATGCAGCTTGACCAGGTTGGCTGGCAGGACACCCGGTGGCAACGGTTTGTTATAGCTGTTGCCGAGGAACAGCTTGGTGATGGAGGCGGGCAGGACATCGACGTCAAGATCCTCACTGTAGCTCTGCAGCTTGAGATTGGTGACTGACGCTGGGATGAAGCCTGGCTCCAACTTTTGGCGATAATCAAGGTTGAGTTGGGTGACGCTCGCCGGGATAACACCTGGCTCGAGTAGATGGATGTATCTACTTCCAATATCCAATGTCTTTACAGTCTTTGGTATCAATCCAGGTGTCAATGGTTTATCGAGTGGCGAGTCTATATTTAGTCCAACAATCACACCCTTTACAGAAGTCAGCATCTCACTAAACTCTACAATAGTCTTGCCAGCGAATGTCAAAGACACCATGATATATTCTGGTATATTGTCAATGCTGTAACAGTCTGTTTGTTTGTTCATTCGGTACCTGTGTTAGATTGAGATATATTGTCATGTCATGTCATTGACTTACCATTGCCTGTTAAATAGTCATAACTTGATTGATCGACTGGTCGATGATAGTAGAGTCGGTCGGGTGGGTAGATGAGGTTGAGGTGTCGGGTCAATGTAGATAGACGTATTGTATTGACGAATGACTTGATATGATGGTTTCCAATAAGTTGTGGTCTTAAGTATGTTGGATCAAAGTAGAGATATTGATCACGTTCTCTATAAAGCTTCTTGTTTACCAACACAAAGCATAGCTTATCCACATTAGACTCCAAGAAACTAAGTATCAATCTTAATAATGTATGAGGAAGTGTCTCCATTATACATATAATATACATATAAATTTAATTATCTATCTCTATCTCTACCTCTATCTCTATCTCTATCTTTGATGATTGATTGATTAATTAATGAGTGCATGACCCAGGTCATCGCAACCGTTCATCTTCAGCTTTTCAAAGTTGTCAAATAATATCTCTTGGTGGGTGAACTTGACTTTGGAAGTTTGTGCGAATGTGGATGATGTGGATGATGACTGGGATCAATCCATATTGATAGATTGATGAGTGATGGGAATGATGATAAGTGTGCCGATAGTATGTCCAGATACTTGTCGATTGTTCCATTGGTATGTGACTTGATAAACCATTCAACATCAGTGAAACATATTCTAAGAGTATGAATGTTTTTGACTGAATGTGACTCATCATCACCATGTCCTGGCAATAATGATATGATATCACTCATGTCCGGATGAATGATCATTAATGTGTTCAATTGTTTGGATGTCTGCAAGAGCTGTTGTAACTGATCCTTGAATTTGGCGTGACCCTGGACCTTGTTGCCTGGTACAATGATCAGCTCTCTAATATTGATCAACTTTGGAATGATATGATATAGTGTCATGTCCGTTGAGAACTTGGCCTTTGTGATATGCTGGGCCAGATAGTCTTGACCTTGGTTCGGGAAGTTGTATTCACTATTCAATGTTAAGTAACATGATACCTTCCCAATCAAGTCCTGTGGCATGAATTGACACGGGTTGATCATTGTACCCATATCGAATGTGATTGATTGGAGTGATGACCTCGAGTTCTGGATCATCCCCATATAATGATCGATCAGTACTGGCAAGAAGTTGGTGTGATATAAGTCCATGTCATCAACAAACTTGTTTGGATAATCAATGCGAATGTACTTGTTTCGCGACTCCTTTGTCGTTGGTCCAATGAGATCCAGGTGAAATTGGTCAAAGTTAGGTTGTTCGACAAACTTGATGTGTTGGACATTTGGCGCATGGACATGAATGAGGATGTATAGGTCTTCGCCCATATCGTGCTCATAGACATGGTTACTGAATGGCACTATGAGTGATTGTAGTCGCTCCATGCACTGTTCCAGATGCTTGGTCGGTATATGTTTGATGTCCTTGGCACCGAGATGTAGTGGAGGTGTTTGGAACAGACATGATTGATGACCAATATATTTGAGTTTGGATCGTATATCCAGGTTGGTCATTATGCTGTTGGAAACCACCAACGTCACCTCCTTGTGGAAATGTTTGGACACTGTTGCCAAGGACACAATCCATCTCGTGAACAGCCTGCCCATCACCACCATGTTGCTCACATTGTCCAACAACACAATCTCAATGATTCTCCTTATGACCAACGTCGGTAATATTGAGATATCAATGTGTTGATCATGAGTGTGACCAGGTGCGATTATAGTATGATCGTTAGATTGACTCTTGAATTGTTTGAATTGTTGTCTGTAGTGAGTTGTGTCGAGGTGGTCTGGCGACAGAGTTGCCAATAACTGTTGCTTGGTGGAGTGATATGCAAGCTCGACATGTTGGTCGGGTGTGAGGCTATCCTGGACACTGTACACATGCATGAGTAGTCGATATACTGCGGCTGGATGTGACTGCTCCTTATCCAGCACTGCCAACACCTTCTTGGTGAATATAAGGTCATCAATGTACTGTGCGTATCTTTGATGTGGATATTGTTTCTTCTGGCTATGTTGACGCAGGTCCTTGCCAACCAAGTCGACATACATGATCCATGCGTTGGGAGTGTTGACCGCGTGTATGAATTTGAGCACAGAGTGTTGACGTATCTTGAGACCAAGTAATATCTTTTTGATCATTGACTGGTCCAGGATTTCCAATTTATGGCACACGATGTAGAAGTGATTGTTGAGCGCCACCCTGCTGATCATATCAATGCTTGAATCGACAAACTCCTTGGTCAATGATGGGTAGTCGTGGACGATACGCTCAGTCAACTGATCAATCGAGTCCGAGTCATGTTGTGTGACCAACATATTCATGGCTGAATCAAAGAATCTCGGTAGTTTGGTCAAGTCATACATTCCAATCAGTCCATTGATTATAGGTAGCGTATCTTTTGGTTTGCCAGTGTCAATGTAGAGGTAATCGTTCAGTTGATCATTGTCCAGTTTGTCGACCAGTGGCCGAAGTATCTCCTTCACATCCTCTTGAGGTGGGTATGATTTGAAGCAGTGTGTGATGCCATCAAGTAACACCAAGGTAGGTCCATTATCAACCATACTATCAGCATTAAGTTCAAAGTACTATGTATTGAGTCAGTGATTGTTTGATTGATTGATTGAATGAGTGATTAATAATGGCATACCCTTTGGAATGCAGGACCCATCCACTTGATCACTCTATTCCTGGTATGTACGCCTTGTCTTTCGAAGCATGTAGTGAGACATGATTCAATGGAGCGTATGAGTCTACGTGATTGTAGGAGTGCTGCAACTTCTTTAGATGAGGGAGATTGTTTGGACTTGGTTGTGGCAGCCACTGGCACAACATCCCATGTGTTTCTGTTGCTGAACAACTTGCGTGCCAGAGCCGTGTTTGGTGTCGACTTGATGATCCAATCTGGGAGGTTGTTGAACTCCGCAAGTACACTAGATGAAGGTAGATATCAAAGTTAGGATGATTGATTAACTGATGTTCAATACAGACCAGACTCACTTGATTGATGATGTCTGAGGAAGGGTGATGTCGTGAACAAATGTTGGGATTAGGTCATCTGGCAATGTTATGAGTGTCCAGTACTTGATATAGAGTTCGATAGTTGTGTCACCAAATGCAGTTACAACGTTTAGGTAGCAGTTTGGACAGTCAGAATATAGTCTGATCAGATTGGCATAGATTACTGCCAACATTCCAACTTGATTGTCTGTGCCAGCTGTTTTGCTACTGCTGATGCTGCCCATCAACTGTTTAAGAAAGCCTTGATCAACCAGTACAAAGTATGTCCAATTAGGAGATAGTATTGCATGGGAAAGATATGATTTGGCATCTTCAAAGACTGACTTGCTTGGTTCACTTTTCAAAGTCTGGTCCATATTCTTAATGACGCCACGTTTGATCAAATCACTGAACAGGCTACTAAAGTGATTGCACAATGGATCAAAGTTGGCTCCTCTCACATTGAGTACCTAAATAAGTCAGACCATGGTAAGTGATGATGTCCAAACAATGATCGATCGATCATACATACGCTTGACACTAATGGCAACAGTTTCTTCAAGATTATGTTGGCCTCTACAGATGAACTACGTATTTGTTTGTTGATTGACTTGAAAGCATCACTCAACTTCTTGTCGTCATGAAAGTAGGTACCATTGATATAGTTAGTCAACAATGATTCAAGTTCTGGAAAGGACATAATACGTGTTATATTTATATCTTATCTAGTCGATCAAAGTATGATTGAATGATCAAAAATGTTTGAATTGGGCGAAGATCAAACAAAGTTGTTCCAGACTCTTTCTAAAATAGATATTTATATAGATAATATATATATATATATATAGATATATATTTATTCAATATTCAGTCGACCTAGGTATGAACTGGTGCCTTGGCAGACACTGGTGTCAGTGATCGAGTCTTGGTATTGATTGATGGTGGGGGTGGTGGCATCCTTCCACCTCCTAACAATGGTTTACCACCACTGCTAGGTGATGATGATGATGAAGATGAAGATGGAGGAGGTACCATTGGTATAGGTGGCCTACTCGTCATCATCTTGTTAAACGCTGATGTATGTACATTGTTGATGTTGTTGGTGGTAGTTGTGGGTGGGATTGGACTCGAGTAGCTATGTGGTCGCTTCAGGGCCACTCCGCTCACTGGCGTCGGAACATTGAATGAACCTCCCTGCATCCTTGGTCGACCAGTCTCGAACTTGGGCGGCGACGTCAAGTCCATGCCGGTCGGTGGCGAAAGGAGTGGGGGCGGGGGCGGTGGCAGAGAGATGACCATCGCAGAGATCGGCAGGTTCAAAGCGGGCGGCAGTGGAGGGGGTGGTGGCAACGCCGCACCAGTGCGTGCGGGGATGGGTGGCGCCATCCTGTTGGGCGACTTGCTTGAATTGACCTCTTGCTCGAGGTTCTCAAAGCTGCCTGTCAGGGGTGAGTAGCGTCCTGTTGAGGACGGCGTCGACGACCGACTGTCCACGCCCAGTGTTGACGGGCGCGGTGGTATGATTGGGTGTTGTTGATGTTGCGCAGCTGCCTGTTGCAGTTCGTACTCCTTCTCCTCCATCGACGTGTAGGTGATCGAGGATATGGTCTGTGGCATCTTCTTAGGACTATGTCTCATCTCCTCATTGCTTTGCGACAAAGAGGGGAATGAAGAAGCCCTGGTGAAGTTGGTGCTGGGGGTGTTTGAGTTGGCCGCCCGAGACACTGACGTGGACGAGCTCGACGGGGATATGCTGTTGCTGTTGTATGAGTGACTGTTGATTGCTGGTGAGATTGACGAGAAAGTTGGTGTGTAGGCATGTGGAGTGGAGGAGGACGATGATGAGCAAGGTGGCGACAAGAAGTGATCACCAACATCCTGCGAAGTCGGACTAACGAGCGAGTTGACGTCGCTGGTCGACTTGCGAAAGATGTCCTGTAGCATGGGCACCGGCTGCTGTTGTCGCCTGGGCTGCATCTGTTCCAGGGTGTAACCGGAGTTGGCAAAGTTATTCAGACTCTTGAAGCCCTTGAGTGAGCTGCATCCAAAGTCGCGCAGACTGGCTGCCTCTGCTGCAGCCACTGCCGCCGGGTCACCATAAGACGAGCACTTGTCCAAGAATGTCTTGTACTTGACCAGCCAAGACTTGTCGAGGAGGTTCATATTGGAGTGTTGGTAGATCATTTGGAAGAACTCATTCTTCTCCGACTCGTGAGCAAAGTAGAATCGTTTGATCTTGTCGTCCTTCTCTGGCAGGAGCATCTCGAATCCACGTGTTGATCCATAAATAGTCTCCACCTTATTCCTCACCAATACTCTATTAAGTACAATCACTCTCTTCACTGTGGCCATCTTCTTCTTATTCTTGGCAATTATCAATATGTCTAAATGATTGATTGATTGAGTGTAAGTATATGGATGGAATGATTCCCATCACCAATCAATCAAATACATACCACTACATAATATACAACGAAGGGATTCCTTCTCATGACCCTTGGATATCAGGGATTCTTTGATGAATCGACGGGTGGTACACTCGTTTGGTCTGTTGTCGTCATAGCTCAGGTTGTTTTCGATCTCCTTGAGCTTAATCGCATTGAAGATGGACTCGTCCAACAGACGTTTCTGATGATTGACCTCCTCCAACACAAAGTTGATCTTGTTGTATGCCTGCTGCAGTGCCTTGAAATCGCTAAAGTCCTGCGGAGTATTCTCCATCAGCGACCTCAGCAACAGAGGGTACTTGGTGATCCTCTGCACGGGCTTGATGATCAGCATCGGGAACGTCAGGCCACGACACAGATAGTTCTGCTTGGCATTGTCTATACATGTGGCAAACACCTTTGAGTTGGCTCTAAGTCGATCGAATGCCAGCTGGCAAGTGTCCTGGTGCTTGCAGAATGATACATAAAGGCTGGTAAAGTCCTTGTGATTGAACTAAAATTTGTATGGAAACCGGTAAGTCAGCTGATCAAATAATAAAATCACTTGATCAGATAGTAAGATCACGTGATCAGATTTCAAATATTTCCAGACATCCTGGAAACCTGGAAAGTGATGGATAATGAGACTTACTGATTTATACAACACCTCTCCAATGTTCTGTTGGGTAGGGCTACGAGTTGGAATGCTTTCAAACTCAACTAGTATATCTCTATGTTGATCTAATATACGCTCTGTACATCCGAATACATCGTTGTATTCTTGTTGTGAGATCTTGCTTCTGATTGGATCGATAAACAATTTAGCTATCAGCTTTAGATCCCTAACATAACTTGTCTCTGTCTTGACAATCTCGTTTACAGTCTGTTGTCTCATCCTCTCTCGCTTCATCATCATCTCCTCTGGAGACAATGGTGTTCCTCCATCTTCCTCCTCTATCAAACTCCAAGTGTCCGAAGAGTTGTCATCAGTACTGTTTGTGCTGCTAATATCGTCGCGCTCCATCCTATATCTAAAATTAATAAATTAAATTTAAATTAATTAATTAAATAGCAATAATTGCTGATCCTGGAAACAAAAATTATTAAAGATAGATAGCTGGAGTTGGTGAAGAGTTAACTTTGGTAGGTGAAGACCGGTAAAGGATGAATGGAAGTGAGATGTCGGAAACTGGGTGGTTGGTTGATTGATTAGAGAGAGAGTTGCTCTATTTGGAAACGTAGCAAGTGGAGTGGAGTGGATGAGGATAACGGGACAGTATGTTTAAACAAACTTCCAGACATCTGGCATTATAAGGTATAATGATTGATGGGTGAATGGAATGTGATTGAAAGTGAGAGAGTGTGTGATTGGTGTATGATTGATTGATGGGAAGAAAGACGTGTGGCAACAACAACAAGTTGACATATGACATGTCCATCTACAATCACTTGTCACTGTCACTGCCTGCCTGAATGAATGAATGAATGCCATCCATGTGTTGCCAACCTCCTGCCACATGTTTGTGCACACCTACTCGCCGACCCCCCTCGGTCTGGCCAAACACCGTGAACGGTATGGGTATTATGTGGCAGTAATTATTATTATGTTGATGTTTGATATTGATACTTGATCATGTGATTGGAAGTGATGTGATGTTATGTGATGTGACATTTTGGATCGATTACATACATTCGGCACAGATATGTATTGTAATTGTATTTTAAAGTTCTCTCTGCTATATCGGATCAATCAAGATTATAATAACCTCCTCTTCTTCCTTTTTCTGTTGTGTTGTTGTGTTGTTGTTGCTGTGAATCTTAACTCCAACTGATGATGGTGAGGAGTGGAACTACTAATTACGTATGGGGTTGATGTTGGATTGATTGATTGATTGATTGATGCGTGATTGAGTGAGTGAGTAATGGTGGATGATGGTCAGGTGATGGCTGATTGGATTGTCGTTGTTAGATGGCTGGAATGGCTGTATGGGTGGATGATGGATGGGTGTCGGAGTGCGTGCGTGTGTGTTTGATTGATTGACCAAAGTTGATTGATTGATGGGTTTGATGTCCTGCCAAAGAGTTAGTCAACCTCTATCTCTATGATGTTGATGTCCACTCTTAATTAAAAAATTGTGTAATAATGAATGAATATGTGGATAATGTATACTTTGGAGGGAGCTAGAAGTGAAGCGATGCGTTGGATGGATGGATGTGATTGATTGATCACCACCCTTGATTGATGGCACTTATTGAATGATTGATTATATATATATGATTATATATGAGTGTGTTTGTTAATCAAACACACAACACACATCTTGATTCCAGGTTATTAATACCCTCTCCCTTCCACCTTCACCGTTGTTTAATGATTGTTTGATTGATTGATTGATTGATTGATGGGATTAGTTGTTGACTTGAGTGTGTGTGTTGGTGTGAGATGAGTGATTGAGTTTGGCTCAACAGTGTGCCAGTCGCCAGGTTAGGCGCCACGAAGCACATGCTTGATTGTCAACAACAAACACATTATTCATCTTAACACATAGATGTACAATTATATGTGTGTGTGGTTTGTGTGTGGTGGTCGAACGAATGTGATCACACATTGGGGTGTGGCGCTTGATCAATCACCACAATCACTCACACTGACAGGGGTGGCATCAAGCAAGAGAGGAGAGGGCATTAATAAACACATGTGCCGCCTAAATGCCATTCAAATAATGGTCAATCAAGAGAGAGAGTGAGAATAAGAACCGGTCTTAGGTCTCTCAGCTGAGAGTGGATAGTGAGAATGAGAGAGCGGGAAGAAAGAAGAAAGAGGCGTTCCAACATACAGTCCGTCAGTCGACAGTTCATTATCTTAACTTTGCGCCGACAAGTTGCGGCGGGCTGGCTCGCGCAGAGGTAACATCGTGTTATGTTTGTTTGTTCTTGTCCAGACCACCCAATGATGGTGGGATCCTGTTCTGCTACCATCATGATGCTTGATTGAATGATTGATGGGTTCAATGAACTTGCATTCTCGGTCATGCGGCCTGGTCTGTCTGGTCTGTTGCTAGAAATACATTGGRAGAGTGGAGTGCAACAACACATTGAGCTTCGCTTCATTCTCTCTCATTGTACACGTATATGCATCGATGTTGGCAACAATAACTCTATTTCTGGATATATCCAGATATGTTAACTAACTAATAACTAACTAACTACTGATACTATTACTGCTACTGCTCAAGCTGTTGATACTCTTTGTTGTCGTCCTCACTGTGGCCAAGGTGAATGCAGCGCCCATCTGAACATTGACCACTCTCGTCTGAGTGATTTGTTTGATCGATGCTGAGGAGACACTCTCGACAACCTGCGTAGTATCATTCAATGTACTACTGCTGCTGCTGATGTTGTTGTTGCTACTGCTCGTCATACTACTACTACTACTGCTGCTCGCGCCTCCACTACTGTTGAGTCTATTGTTGATGGTTCCAGTTAACATTGGACTGCCCTTGCTTGACCTGATCTTCCTGAGCTCCAAACGGTCCATGTGCGAGGCCAGCTCCTCCTCGCGCTCCACGCCCCACTGGTCTGGCATCACAAGACTCGGTATGTCCTGGTCGACGTCGGAGCCCGTGCCCAGTCGATGGCTGTCTCCAAAGCCAAAGGTGTACAGTTTGCCACTGTTTGTTATGATGCCACTGTGCCAGCCACCGGCTGCGATACGCACAGCAATGTCTCCACTGGCATACTTGTCGGGTTTCAGTGTCTCGCCTTCCTGATCATATATGTCGTTGTATGAGTCAGCCGAGTCGCTGAACTGATGTCTAATATGTGAGTATGGTATCAATGTTGGTTTGCTCTGATGTCCGACCACCGCGCCAAGTCCCAATGCTCCATCGCTAACGAATCCCCAAGTGTATACTGCTCCTCTCCCTGTGTTGCATGTGAATGCGATAAAGAGATGTTAGTGTCGAGGTGCTTGGAATGATTCCAATGTTCTACTCTTGAATGAATACTAACTCGTTAAACACATTGAATGATAGTAGCCAGAGGCAATGTCGACGATCTCTCCAGGCATTTCAATCTTCTTGGGCTGGATGCTGTCGCTGAATGTGTTGAGGCCGAGTTGTCCACAGATGTTGAAGCCAAACGAGTACATGCTGCCTTCGGTCGTCAGGACTAGCGTGTGGTTCTTGCCACACACAACCTTGACCAATGGCACGCGCTCCAGCTCCTTGTTCTTGACGGGCAGTGTGTGCTTCTTCACGCTTCCAATGCCCAACTGACCGTATCTGTTCCAGCCCCAAGTGTATAGTTGACCGCGGTTGTCTATGGCGGCCGAGTGCATGAGTCCCGCTGCCATGTTGACGATGTGTTTGCCAACGAGACTGCCTACAGGCTTTGGTGAGAAGGCCGGCAGCTCGTTGCCGTGGCCCAGGCGACCGTATGTGCCGCAGCCAAACGTGTAGAGCTCGCCGTACTTGGAGAGCACGAGCGAGTGCTGCATACCAGCGGCGACCTGCTCGGGAACCGAGCTTGGTGAGATGCCGCTGATTGGCGCAGGCTTGAGTCGATTGACCTGGTCGCCATGTCCGAGTTGACCCCATCTGTTGCAGCCCCACGACACCACCGTGGCCACATCGGGCAGGATGGCAAGCGCGTGGCTGTCGCCGCAGGCAATCTTTGACACCTTGATTGAAGTGACCTGGCGCGGCAGTCTAATCACATTAATCTTCTCCAACTCGTCCTGATTATATCCACATTGTCCAAAGAAGTTGTAGCCCCAACTATACAACTGTCCAGGTGTATAACTTGTATCTGTAGCTTGTTTACTCGCGCTCATTGCTGACTTATTGTTGTTGTTGTTACTATTCTTGCTTGTTGTTGTCACTTTGTTTTTGTTGTTGTTATTGTCGCTATCGTCTGAACTTGAAGAGAGAGTGTCGTCGGATTTGTCTGAACCAGGTTGTGACTCTCCACTCTCACTGCTGTCACTATGTCCGTCGTCCTCACCAAACAACCAACGATCGACGACGTTTGTTCCACAAGTCAACCAATTGGTTACACCAGATATCATATTCTATCTACTACTTAGAAAATATAATAATAAATAAAAGTTATAAGTTCGAACGTACAACAAGATTGAGCTGGCAAACAACATTCATTCATTCATTCATCGGATGATACCACTTTTGCGCACCTCTTTGCAATAGTTGCAAAAATGGGTAAATGAGGGGTCTGAATTGAATTCAGGGTCATTTCCACGATCATTGAGTCAACAGTTATTCCTTCCTAAATCAATCAAAAAGGCACAAGTAGTATCTGTATACTATGAACATAATAAATATTACAAGATTGATAACTTTCAATATTTAGTATTAAAATAATTAATAATTATTAACAACATGGGAATAATTAAATAATGAATTATTATTAGTTGTTGGTTGGATATATTCCAATGGTATTTCCCAACAACAATGTCAACAAATATTAACAACATTGTTGTTAAGGAATGAAGATTGATTGGACCTTATTGTTTATTCAATCATCTCCATCTTGAATCTAATTTTTTTCAAAATACCTTCTCAACACTGGTTTTGTTGCATCTTCAACTTAAGTATTTAGTTTAAACATTCATTCGTCTTCACTTCAATTCGCAACACTTCACTTTATTATTTTTATACATATATATATATACATACATACAACAAACAAGCAATAATGTCAGAAACAAACGTTGAGAAACAAGTTGAGGGCATGTCACTGAATGAGACTGCCACTACAACAACATCTACTGCTCCAGTTGCACATCCAGAGAAGCCCATTGGGTAAGATGAATCATCTACAGGTAGATTGACAACAACAAGTCGACTGACACTTATGATTATAACAACTATCTATATAGTGGTGGACTGACTGTTCAGGAGAGATTGAATTTGATCAAGTTGGTCGGCGAAGAGATTGTTAGTGAGGAGAACCTCGCTGGTCTGCTCACCGCCAAGCCAAAGCTTAGATGCTACGATGGTTTTGAACCATCGGGCAGAATGCACATTGCCCAGGGTATCCTCAAGTCGATCAATGTCAACAGAATGACCCAAGCTGGATGCACATTCATCTTCTGGGTTGCCGACTGGTTCGCCATGTTGAACAACAAGATGGGAGGTGACCTCAACAAGATCAGAAAGGTCGGACAATACATGATTGAGGTAAGTTTGATTGATCGAATGATCGAATGAATGAATGAATGAATGGACGACTTACTCAATCATTCATATCAATCAATCAAACATAACAAAGATCTGGAAGGCAACAGGTATGGACATGGAGAACGTTGAGTTCTTGTGGTCATCTGATGAGATCAACAAGAATGCCAATGACTACTGGCTCAAGGTGATGGACATCTCGAGAAAGTTCAACATTCCACGTATCAAGCGTTGCGCTCAGATTATGGGTCGTAACGACGAGGACGATCTGTCCGTGGCCCAGGTGTTATACCCATGCATGCAGTGCGCCGATATCTTCTTCCTCAAGGCCGATATCTGCCAGCTGGGAATGGATCAGCGCAAGGTCAACATGTTGGCACTCGAGTACTGCGACAAGTCAAAGATCAAGCACAAGCCAGTGATCGTGTCGCATCACATGCTGATGGGTCTGAAGGAGGGCCAGGAGAAGATGTCCAAGTCCGACCCAGACTCAGCCATCTTCATGGAGGACACCGAGCAGGAGGTCTCCACCAAGATCAAGAAGGGATTCTGTCCACCAGGCGTCATTGAGAAGAACCCAATCATGGACTACTTGAAGCACATCATCTTCCAGAAGTTTGAAACGTTCACCGTTTTGCGTCCAGACGACAAGGGAGGCAACAAGACCTACACCTCGTACGCCGAGTGTGAGGCTGACTTTGCTTCCAACGCGCTGCACCCAAGCGATCTGAAGCCAGCCGTCGCCCTGGCCATCAACAAGATTCTGCAGCCAGTCCGTGACCACTTTACCAACAACAAGGAGGCTGCTCTCCTGTTGAAGACCATCAAGGGATACAATGTCACTCGTTAAGTGAACTCAACCCATTGTCTCGCGTCGCCTGCTGTCTCCTCCCCTTATCCACAAGCGTCATCAATCAACTCCCAAATATACATACATATCTTTTTACAAACCAAACCTCCTTTATTGACTCTTACTCATTCCAAGTGCATGAGATGGACTTGTTTCCAGTCCACTCGACGCTGAACTTGTTCCTGATCACGCAATCAATCAATGAATGGTCATCAATTCGATTGAGCATCGATGAGTGAATGGAAGTGAGAACAATGATTGATGGGTCGCATCGTTGGTTGTGAATACGACTATTAGGTCATTGAGGTCGGCGTGAATCTTGGCATAGTCTTGGAGGTCTCGGAATATTGATGGGGAGTGATGAGCCAAGTGATTAACATTGTCAATGATGAGTATTGGAGGATGTCCATGTCCAGCAGTGTACCTCTGAGCGGCCTCACTAACCATTGACATTATCTCTTTATAGTACTTTGATTGATCGTCATCGATTGAATCCGCCTCCTCATCTCCATCCTTATCCTCGTGGGCCTCGTCTTCTTCATCATCACCTTCACCACTCATATACTTGAGTAGAATTTGTGAATACTTGTCATGTCGTTCAAGTTGAAATACATTGGATAACTCTCGTACAAAGTCCTTATCATCTGGACATGATATATACACGACGCCTCCTCCATTCTTGGATGATTCCATGTCATTGCCATTGCCATTGCAATTGCCATTGCCATTGCAATTGCCAATGTTGATGTTGATGTTGTTGAGTGACAGCTTGACGTCGACCGATGCGATTCCACATACAATGAATGCCTTGCCCTCTCTTCCACCTCCATTTGATTGTACTCTTTGTATTATTGATTGTATTACATTGCCAACTTCGGAGTTGGCTGATGATGATGTTGATGACGATGATGTTGATGCCGCAGTTGGAATATGACCTCTCTCGAATGTATTGTTTACACGCTTACGTGTAGCATACTGTTGAAAAGAGTATAGACCTGATATCAATAGTGGATCCAACATTTCTCTTAGGGAGTAGTATTGCCATTGATATTCATCCCATATATCAGCCAACACTTGTAACTTTGCATCTAATCTCTGTACATTATCAACCAATACTCTAGGCAATATATCCAATGTCCTATTAAATAACAATGTCTCGAACTGTTCAAACCTCTTATACATTATACATCTCTCTCTCTCTATCTATCTCTATCTCTCTATCTCTATCTTATAACTTGAAAAGAGTGAAGTTGGTGGGACTGGTCTCAGTTCCCAAAAGTTCAAAAAGTTGCAAACGATGCCCATTCACACACTTTATTGGAAATTTGATTGATTGTTTGATGGAATGATTGGATGTTGATGTAATGGTAGGATGCTTATTAGTTGGTCAGTTGATGTATCTTGTGATATTAGACATATGGCATTGTTATTATCTATTTTACGAATTTGTAATTGATATTGATGTGATGGTAGATTATCCTTTGAATATGTTGTTACAGATAAATAATATATACCAATATTTGGATAGTCTTGAAGTAATATCCTTTGTAAAGTAGATTGAACTGTACTTCCATATTGCTTTGGATCATAATAAATTGTACCATATAATGATCCAATATGATGTACTAAAGAATATGTTGATTCCTTCCATTGTCTTACACCATCTTCCGCCAAACAATCATTGATGATCAATGTACCAACTGATGATGGTATAGTTGATTGTAATTTTGTTCTTCTATTTAATACCAATGTACTGAGTTTGGAATATTGAGGGTCTGGAAATGTGATCAATCTTATTTTGAATGAATTAATTTCCAATCTTGTAAGTGATGTTGGAAGTACACTTTGTGGAATGTTCTCGCGATATGCTGTGCTTGGAAATGTGAGGTCTGTCAGAGAGTCTGGGAAACAATGTGGATGGAGTGGAAGAGTGTAGTTTCTACCAAGTTGGAGTGTTTCCAGCAGTGGTGGAAGCAAACCTGGTGTGAAGGGTCGGTTGAACATTGTACCAAAAGTGAGTGATCTGAGTGAGTAGGGGAATATTCCATCACCAGTGATGTTATGATCAAAGTTAGATCCCATGACCAAAGTGATCAGTGATTGAGGAAGTGCACCCGGCATGATAGGCTGATAGAAGTTGTCCCCAAATGTCAGTGATGTCAGACATGTTGGTAACATTCCAGGACTAATCGTTTGATTGAAGTCCTTTCCAAATGATAATGATGTTATTGTATCCGGCAATGAATTGGCAATCCAATCACAATTATAATCTTTACCAAATGATAATGACCTGATTGATATGGGGAGAGTTACCACTTTGGTAATGGTTATATTTGGTTCCCAATGAAGCGTGATGAGTCCATTGGGCAGTGTCATTACATGTCTAAAGTTCCTTCCAACTGTGAGTGATGTAAGTGAGGCTGGGAGCGTGCCTCCATCACCTCCAAAACCTCCAAATGAATGATTGTATCTTGATCCAATCCTAAATGTTGTTAATGTAGATGGCAATGTATCTTTGATAATAGGATGATTGTACATTGTACTCATTAAGTGCAACACGGTGAGTGAGTGAGGTAGTGTCCCTGGTACAATCGGCCGCTTGAAAGCGTTTCCAAGTGATAGAACAGTGATTGAAAGTGGTAGGACTCCATCGATACTTTGATCAAACATATAACCAAAAGTGAGTTCCAACAGACCTGTTGGCAAAGCCCTTGGAAGTATTGGTTGATTATAATAATAACCAAATGTTAATGATCTCAATGAGTTGGGCAAAGCATCTGGCTCCACAATGCTGTTGAACTTTAATCCCATTGTCAAAGTGATTAATGACGATGGAATCATTCCAGGTTTCAAACTATGATTGAAACACTTTCCAAATGTAAGCGATGTCAAAGATTCAGGAAGTGACCGATCATTGATCAATTCATTGAATGAATGATCAATGATCAATGTACGAAGTTTGAACTTCTTGGATGTTGATGTCGATTTCGATGATGAAGTTGGTGATGTTAAATGTCGTCTGATCATCTGATCACATGACCATAATGACATTGAAGTTACTCTTCCTTGTTCCAAATGACTATGTAACTTCTTGCATGATATCATCAAACATGCCAGATCTAATTTGGATGTCAACAAATCTAATATATATTGTAATATTATGAATGGTAGTGTATCAATCATTCTATGTTTGTGTACTTGTACATGTCATTCCATCAATCAAACAACTACAAAAGCCTTGACAAAAGCCTCGACAAAAGGAGGCCCCTTCACATTCCTTTTTCCTTCCAACATAGTCCACTTAAGTGGACTTCACAAAGAGATAATGATATAAATATCAATAAATAAGTATGAGTTGATGTGCGAGCGAGACACAATGTCAAGATTACAACAACCACTTCATTAGTCGTCAGATATTGCTATAAATATAAGATAGTGGAGATCATCATCATTGTGCAATCTACAATCACTGATACTTGACTGACAGTCTGTGTTTCAGATAGTTGATGGATGGATGAATTATCAACTGGTGTGTCCATCACACTCACTCATATAATATAAGTATACACATAGATACAGAGATATCAAATCACACACTACTACCCACCATTATTGATTCACTGTGTGTGAGTGAGTGATCACATGACTGGAACATACAGTGGATACACACACACACACACACCACTAATGGATGGAAAGAAGGAAGAGGGTGGTGTCACATAGGCCTTTAAAGGCTGTGTTTGCAATGACTATCTTCATCCTTCACAAGTGTATACACTCACTCATCATCAGCGGATGCGGTGCTCACTTGCATGCATGCTACTGCTGCTTCACTAACCTGGAAAGAGTAAGTTGGGTGATCATCTGACTGACTGACTGAACTGACTGATATTTGATATAGCACTACTTCCTAACGTGCCCGCGCCAAGATGCTACTACTACCATGGACGCACACGCACCTCAACAACACCTCCCATACATCAAACAAACAAACAAACACCAAGGTTGCTAACTTGTATATATGGTGCCAGCTGGTGATGGTGGTCAATGGGAGTGCGAAGGTCCTCGTCGTGACTGACTGACTGACTGACTGCCAGGCACTCTCTCTCACTAACTCGCAGTGATTGTGATGTTGATGGGCTATTCATCCTGCCTGCATGCCTGCCTCTCCCCATATGTCAATCAATCACTTCCGCACACATGTGACTCTCCAACAACAATAACAATTTACAACAATCAACATCCAATCCATCTACTGTCATTCATTCATAGATTGGAATCATTTACAACATTACAATATTACAGCTTTGTCTTAGAAGAAGTGATACATCACTTCATTCAATCATTCATACTACAAACTATTCATTCATAGTTAGACGGACAAATTTAAAGTGAATGATGACGAAGATGATGGCCAAGTCCAAAGGTGTTGTGATACTCTTGTTATCATTACTACTGATATGTAATAATATTGGACTCAGTATGTATACATTTGGATCACCAAGTATCATTATGTAGTCATCTAACATTCAATCAATCATATAGTTAGCGCACAGGGTAACACAACAATCAGTGATGATCAAGTAAATTCTGCAGACTTTATACCAGCACAACCAAATAATGGCGATAACAGCATCAACAACAATGATAAATTATTTATAGATATAAACAATGGTGATGATACATGGTCTGGAAATATGGTATGATCCATCGACCCAAACTCAAAGTCTAGTTTGCCCGCCACACACACTCACACATACTCACTCAATCAATCAAATACAGACTCATCCACTGAAAGTACTTCAATTTGGATATTACGAAGCAAAGAGATTGAATAGGACACAGGTGTATGTTGCCAAGGGAGTGTATAGTACAGAGACGATTGATCTGGTCGATGGTATATCAATCTTTGGTGGATACGATGGTGCACCAAACTGGAACCGATCCAATGTAGTACTGCCCTATATCTCAAGTACAACGATCAAACCAAATGGAGGACATGCCGTATTCAACATCACCAATGTCCAAGCCAAGACCACCCTCTCACATCTCAACCTACTCTCTCCAACACCAGTCTACGACACTGGTAAGTCATTGGAGCTATTCCAATCAATCTCTCAATCACTCAATCACTCACTCACTCACTTAATCACTTCAAATCAAATATAGATACATTCGGATCATCATTTGGAATAGTGATCAGTAATAGTAATCAGGTGGTGCTGAGATTTATATCGGTGACGTCGGCCGCCGGTGTTGACGCACCTCCAATGGCTGGAAGTTGGACAAAGAATGATCAACTCAATGGACCGGATGGACGCGATGGCATGATCAGTTGTGTGGATGGCGATTCATCTTTAGGCTGCGGCAACTGCACAGCCCCTCAACCAGGTCTAGGCGGAGTACTAATGTGCTATGGCCAGTTAACCAACGGTGGTGATGGCGCCGCGCCTGGCCACGGCAACGAGACTGGACACAACGGAGTTGCCGGACAAACCGCCTCTTTCGGCGGTGCTGGAGGCCAGGGATCCGAAGCTGGCTACGGTACAATGTTTATCTTGGCCGAGACAAATGGACGCGATGGCGTGAATGGTGCGGCTGGCCGAGATGGCAAGCCCCCAGTCTTCATATTCACACCCCATGGAATCTCTGGCAAACAATCAAATGGACTACTCGGCCAGAATGGTGGTGGTGGTGGCGGTGGCGGTGGCGGTGGCGGTGGACTCGGAAAGTGCGCAGAATACGGTGGATCGGGAGCTGGAGGCGGTGCTGGTGGCTGTGGAGGTCGCGGAGGTCTAGGCGGCAAGCCTGGTGGCAGCTCCATCGGTGTCTACATCTGGAACTCTACTGTCAAGATTGAGTTCTCATCCATTACCACGAGCAAGGGTGGCAATGGTGGCACACCATCACCAATCGAACCAGGCTACCTCGGTGGAAAGGGTGGATTTGGAAGCTACCCACACGCCGACAGATCAAGCAACTCATCAAACAGTGGCAATGGAGGCCATGGAGGCAAAGGTGGAGATGGAGGCCAAGGTGCACCAGGCAACGGTGGCTTCTCCTCGCCTATTGTATTCTTTGGCAACGAGCCAACAATGTCATGCAACAATCTGGCCAAGGATGTCGCCGGCCAGCCAGGCGACGGCGCTGTCAAGTCCCTGGACGGCATCAGCTCATTCTGTTACGATGCCAACACCAAAGCTCCGACCGAATGTCCATCCACCATCAATGTAGCCCAATGCACCAGTCTTTTGGCCGTTGCCGAATGCGAGTTTGGCGAAGAGAGAGACAAGTGTGGCATATGTGGAGGTGCTGGCTCATGTTCAGTTGGCTGCGATGGCGTAGTTAACTCTGGCAAGGTCTTGGATTCATGTGGCGTGTGTGGCGGAAACAACTCAACATGTTCAATTGGCTGCGATGGCGTTGCCAACTCTGGAAAGATCATCGATGCCTGTGGCGTGTGTGGTGGCAACAACTCAACATGCGTGGGCTGCGATGGCGTGGTCAACTCAAACAAGACACTGGACCAATGTGGAGTGTGTGGCGGAAACAACACTTGCGTGGGCTGCGATGGAATCATCAACTCTGGACTCGTGATGGACCTTTGTGGAGTGTGTGGCGGTCACAACAGCACATGTCTGATAGGCTGCGATGGCATCGTTGGCTCATTCAAGAAATTGGACTCCTGTGGCGTGTGTGGCGGCGACAACTCTACCTGCGCCTTTGGCTGCGATGGTATTTCCAACTCTGGACTTGTACTGGACGCATGTGGAGTGTGTGGCGGTAGCAACAAGACCTGTCTGGGTGGCTGCGACAATGAACCAAACTCAATCTTGGAGTTTGACGAGTGTGGAGTGTGTGGCGGAGACAACTCGACTTGTTTGTCAGGCTGCGATAACTTGCCATACTCCAACAAGAAGGTGGATGCATGTGGCGTCTGTGGCGGCACAAACAGCACATGTCTAGTTGGCTGCGACGGTATCAAGTACTCATACAAGGAGTACGACAAGTGTGGAGTATGTGGTGGTGATGGATCAAGCTGCACCCGTCAGTCCAGCAGTGGACTCAGTACCGTGTCCAAGGTGGTCATCAGCATCGTGGTCATCTCTGTCTCACTCTATGGCGCCGCTCTCGCATTCATTGTGCTGAGACGCAAGCTCAAGGGTCACGGCTCACAATACTACCGCACCAAGCTAGTTCTCGAGTACCAGGATGCGCCATTCGTCCAAGCCGAGCTGATCCAGAAGAACAGGAACAGACCCAAGCGATCGATATTGACTGGTCTGGGAATTAGGAGGGACTACCAACACCTGCACGAGGAGGTACCAATGGACGACTATCCAACATCATCAGGATCAATCCACTACGACACAAACAACAACAACAATCATTATGATGCCAATAATCCTCATCATAACCAAGGAATGTATAATCAGCCACAGGGTAGAGAGGACATCTTCTCCGAATTCGACATGTTCCCTCCACAGCCACATGGCAACAGCGGAAACAGCGGCAACAGTGGAAACAATGGTCGACCATACATGTAAATAATTATAATTAAATATAATATTATTATCTCTCTTTTGATTTAACTAAAGAAGATCTAGATCAAATATTTATTCATATCAACAACAACTCTTGACTATCTAACCTAACATTGGAAGGGACGGCGTGGACTCTGAACTAGTTTACTCAGTCACTGTTGTGGCACGCTCCATATCCCTCTCCCTCTGTTCATGCTCTATTTGTTCTTGTAGCTCCTGCTGCTTCTCACCCTGATGTAGAACCTTGGGGGATGATTGTGGCTCCACTTGTTGTTGCTGGACTCCCTCTTGAGTGCCCACCTTGGAGCCTAGGACCTCGAGTTGTTGGGGTAGTTGTTCATGTTGTTTCTCGGATGTTCTCTTGGCCTCCTCCAAATCAGAACCAGGCTGACCCTCCTGTTGGGTACCTAGGATTTGGCGCTCTTCCTCCACGACCTCTGGGGAGGTCTCATCCTTCTTCTCACCGTGGTGGAACATTCCAACTGCACGACCCTTGATGTGTGAGCCCGTCTCATGGATCCTCTCCCCAGTCTCGTGGAAAGCATGCTTGGTGTCTCCCCAAGCTGTACCAATAGCATCACCGATGTTATGCTTGAGTTTTGCCATTCTCTCACGGTAGGACTCTTTGGATTCGCCGGGATGTTGAGAGGTATCCGATTGTACACCAATGTCCTTGTCCTTCTCCTGACCTAGACCTATACCCGGGCCTTGGACCTCGCCCTCCTCCTTGGATTCCAAACCAATCTTCTTCTTGAACTCCTCGGACACAGGAGGTGACTCCTTTTGTTGGGGAATTTGTTGTTGGTGCAATTGCTGCTCCTCGGAAATTGGACCAGTAGAGATCGGTCGGTATTCGCCCTCCTTGGCCTCTGATCCAGAACCTTGTTGTTGAATAACAGGCTCTTCAGAGCTCTGGAATTCCTTTACTCTCTGGGTGGGACTAGTTTGTTGTTGTTGTTGGTGTAGTTGATGTTGTGGAACATTCTCATGGCTTTGTTGTTGAATTGGATCCTTAATCTCTCTTTGTGACTCCATTATTAAATAATTAATTAATTTGATAACTTAAGTTATTATTTGTTTGTCTAAGAGATGCTTGTTGTTAATGAATTATATTGTTGAATGAAGGAGATTGTTATATATTGGAGATGGACATGTTGTAATTCAACAGTCAATATCATTAGCCTTCATATATGGTCAATTTCCAAAGATGGTAATCCAAAACACATATGGGTTTCATCAGTTCCCTTGGCTGAGTTTGTCCTTAGCCATAAACAAAGTGTGTCCCTACAAATATGAATAGTCAACACCAGAACTGATCATTACTGGTACGTCCCAGTGCCACGATTCCCGAACAAGTATATACATATGCCTAAATAAAGTTCATTGGTCATTGTTGTTGGCGGAGGAGGAAACTCCGTGTTCAAACTGAGAGGAGGAGGGAATGAGAGTGAAGGAGAGAGTAGAGACATGTAATAATTATTATAGTTATAATATATATATATATTTACAATCGGACTGTTCATTAATTAATGTACATGTTACAATATTGTCGCAAGTTATCAACCTGTTGTTGTTATGTCGATGTCGGTCATTGGTCAATCTTGCTTATGATAGCCTTGAGGAAGGCCAGCCTTGTCTTCTTCAGTTTCTCACTGAATGCATTCGCGTATAGTGCTGCCTTTGCTCCATTTATCACTATTAATGGTTGGGTTGTTTGTTAATACATGTAATGTTGTTGTTGTCTTCATCATCACTTGACTATTAAACATACTCTTGGCAATTAGACTATCTAATAAGTTGATGTCCTTTTTCCAGACCTTGTTCGGAGAGAATGACGGACCAAACTGTCCAACGCCATCCTTTGAGGTCACTGATATTATATATTGAGTCGGGTCAAGGGGAGACTGTTTGGGCTGAGGTTGTACAACAATGAATACATCTTGATTGATTGAGAGAGGGTGGAGTGTGAGTAAGCTATAAGCTGGTATGATGTCGTGTGTACTATAAAGTTACTTACGGTTAAACTCTGAGCGGATGGTGGATGGTACAAATGGGGCACAACCAATGTCTTGGAAGATCAACACAACGACATCATTGCCAACATGTCTCTTTCTCTCTAGTTGTTGCTCATCGTGAGCTCTGAATGGAAGTAGTGTCGACACGTGGAACATGATCTGGAACTTGAATATATTGTCATCAATGTTAAAATGTTTGGTAGTATACACTGAATGGATGCCAGTTGAGTTGTCTATATTTGTGATGAGCGTGAGTAAAGGAGGCCTTTCCGAACACGGACAACTATACCTATACTTACTGACAATGTCAAGGTTACCCTTGTAGTGTGGCCAATCTTTGAGCTCAATCTTCTTGCCAATGAACTCAAGGAACTCATTGTACTCTTCGCTGGCGTCCTGGATCTGGTTGGAGAACATCTCGGACTCTGTGAGCTGGTCTTTCTTGCGATAGAGCAGTCCAAACGTGTAGTCCTTTGTGATCAACTTGTCCTCCCAGTTGGAGAGCTGCTTCTTGACATCGTTTGACTTGATCACCTTGAATGTCAGTGCGCTGATGGGCTGGCAAATGGATTGAACGGTGTGCATCAACTCCTGGGGTGTGGCCTTGCCCGACGACAGATAGAACCTGTCCTCGCCCTCTTGTGTTCTGACCAGGACCTTGAACCTTCTCTCCTGCGCCATCATTGGCGGTGCGCCTTCTCCAGGCTTATCATGTCTCTTCTTCTTCTGCTTGAACTTCTCTGCCACCTTTCGAATACTGATTATAACAGGACCGATGGGGCCTCCATTGAGTTGGTCAACAGAGAGGAAGTTCTTGTGCTCTGTAGTGAGTGATTGAGTGAGAGGTTAGTGAATGGATGAGCGATCGCTTCGACTTGTCAACTACATACTGAAATCGAGGAATGAGGTATCATAGTGATGTATCTCATTGTCACTCTCCTCCAGGAGGTGTTGGCTGCTGCCAGCCGGCCTCTGTCTGATGAGGTTGGCCGGGATGTCACACTCGCGTGTCCATCCAGTGCTACAATCTATGTTTACATTGCCATTCTTCATATCCTCGATCGAACTCTGTCTTGACACCAACGTCGAGTGTTGTGGAGTCTCCTCCTCACTCTGGAACAACTTGGTCTTGTACGCTGGTCTAGTTCCAATGAATTGTTTATATCTCTTCCTACAATATTGATTGATGTCAGTTAGTGATGAATGGAACAACTTGTCCCTGCTGCGCGTGAGATACTTACAACTCCTGTCCTTTAGAGGCCACCAACTCTTTGAGGGTTGTGTCAAACTTGAGCTCTTCAATGGTCTTCCTCCTCATGAGCTGTCGGTCGGGTGTTGCTCGGTGAGGCGGGAGATGATGGTGTTGGCCGTCGCCTTCAAGTGGAGGTGATATCGTTATCATGGGCTCAGAGTTGGCCTTCTCCAATGGGTTCATCGCTGGATCATCCTCTCTGATTGATGGGAGAGGCATTGATGCCACGAGCGATGTGGCTTCAGAGCTAGTGGTTACAACAGTCCTGAGGCCGGCCAGATTTGCCAGGTCGTTTGCAAGTCTGGCTTGCTCCTCCAGCGTCATCTCGCCCGGATTGAGCAGGTCGTTCTCGGACACTGACATCCTGATCTTGTTTATGGATGAGCTCGATGACTTGAGGTCGGGGGTGGCGCCGCCACTCCTTGACTCGCCCTGTTGCTGTGACTGCGCTGCCTGTGGCTGAAGCTCGCTGGATGCGCCAAGACGCCTCTCGTCCTTCTTCTTGCCGCCACCAAAGATTTTCTCGATGGTGGACGTCTTCTTTTTGGGCGAGTGGTAGCTGGTCAGATACTTGTCATAGGTCGTCGGTGATGTTGAGAGGTGAGGGCTGTTGGTGGTCGTGTCGATTGGCTGGCTATTGTTGGTGCGTGATTGATACGCGCTGCTGCTCGTGAAGCCATTTCCAGTCTGTGCATCCTCACTAAGACCATGACTGCTTGGAGACTTTCTAAAGAATGACATTGTCTTCTTCTTCTCTGTGCTGGCGGCCAATGCATTGTTGTTGTTTGTGTTGTTGACATTGTTATTATTACATGTTGTATTATTTACAGGTGTTGGAGGTGATCTGGACTGTGTCTCCTGACTCTCGCCACCACTGCCACTCTTGTGATTGAAGAGTGCCGACGAGAGACTGGTACGCAGCTTCTGGTTGTTTGGTGTGACTGTGGATGATGGAGAGATTGATTGCTTGGTGGGAGAGGCGTGCTTCTCCTTCTTCTTTGACTTCTCGCGGGCCTTCTCCTCCTTCTTCCTCCTCTTCTCCTCCTTCTTGCTGCTGCTCGGTGACATTGAGTTCAGATCGATCATTGAGTTCCTCTTGTGTCGCTCTGGCGACAGACTCGATGAGGAGGACAATGCCTCGCTGTTACTGAAGCTGTTTCTGATGCTGTTGGATGGGCTGATGATGCGACTGCTGCAACTGGCCAGCGATGAGCTCGAGTCGTCGCTGCCGAGGCCGCCGCCCGTCAGGCCCATCGACGTGGTCGTATGCAGGAAGGTCATTGAAGCCGATGGCGTTATCTCTGATGGCAGTTGACTGGTTGACGATGACATTATCGAAGAGTTTGTCAGATAGCTCTCGTCGTCGGAGCTATACTCGCTCTCAGAGTCCAACTCCTCATTCTCGTCCTCCTCGTCATCTGTCGTTGTATTGAAACTCTGTACAGAGTTACGGTGTTCCAATCCATGATTAATATCCACTACACCCATAGCACTATACAATGGTGAAGGTGGTGGCGGGGCTGCGCCAAACTCCATCTTATCCTTGTCACTGTCCACATCATTTGTCATTGTGTGTTATATATAATTATATATGTATATGTATATATTATTAATATTATTATTTACAAGTAAAGTTAAAATATCTATATAATATCTGTTTATGTTAAGTTGTATTGTATGTATATAAATATAAGTTTAAAGAAGAAGAAATAGATAAAGTGTAATGTTAAGATATAAATGTCAATGAGGAGGGATGTGTCTTCGATTGAACCCTTGTCCGCAAGTGTGTGGTGAGGGGGGAGGAGATGACGCCTCAAGAGTTGATGTCAGGGATGGGCCTTGAACGGACGTCTTTGTGTTTGTGTGTGTGTGTGTGTGTGTATGAGTGTTTGTGTTGTTGTTGGTACTGTTTTGTTTTTTTAGTTGTGTTGTTGATTATTATTAGTTAATGGTGAGGTTAGGTCCTTGACGATGGGTTAAACGAGTGTTTTTGGATCAGTCGATCGAAATTTATGATGTGTTTGTTGTGAGTGAATAGTGTCTATTAATCAATAAATCTATTATTATATCTAACTAAGTGTAAGTATCTATTTATATATATATATCTATCTATGTGTGTGTTAAAAAAGTAAGTATGAAAGTAAGTAAATAATGATGATGATGTTTGATGATGATGGTGAAGTAAAGACAAGAACCACACTGTTTTCTTATGGTATGTAGAACATACACAAATACGTACATACACACAGAGACATTATTTCAAAATAGGGTCCTGAGAGTGGAGGGGACGGCTCTCCGGGGAACCAATCGTCGCGGTGCTCAAGAGCTGCAATCGACTGCAAATCGTAGATCGGGTGATCGAAATTTACATTATTATTAATTTTTTGGGGGATTTATTCACAGGTGAATTCACAAAAGGGGCGATGTGAACCAGTGATGTCGGACAGACTTATCGTGGTCAACAAGCGGTCGGGTTACAAGGGTCATGCCTTTGCACTTGTCGTCTACAAGTCCCTTATTAGTTAAGTCTCACTGTGCACCTGTGATCTATCAATTAGAAACAAAACCAAAGAAAGATTGTTATATTAAGTTATATGATTATATAAATATACAATTACTTTAATGATGATGATTAAATATATGTTGTAGTACAAGTTGATAAATAAATAAATAATAATATAGGTTACAGTGACTTTGAAGTGATCGAGATTTGCTTTGATTGGTTGAGTGATTGAGTGCTCATTTTTGATTGATGATATCAAGGTCTATTTCAAATTGGGTCTTTGGTTTAGTTTGTTTCTGCTGGTTGTATATATATCCTTGACATGGTTGTGCACTCATTATCTTCAAGAAATGATCAGGGTCTAAGTGATAAAGAATCTATATATCTTTGTATTAGTAACAATAATATATATTATATAAATAATAAGGACTTACTACTTCGGCCCTTTGATTAGTTCTTGATGGAATCACCATTGTATCTATATCTATTATATGTAGTTAAAGTGTTGTTATTGTAATAATACTTCTAATTATCTCTATGTTGAATGAATAAGTTGGAATGAATGAATGAATAATACTTTGAATGTTATTATTTATATTGACGCAAGTATGTTCATGAGTTTGATTGAAAGAGTGGGTAGAGGATGTGGAAGGTAAATCACAACAGATGTCTATTCTAGTTCTGGCTTGATCTGATTGGATTGAAACTGGACAAGATAATCAATCACATTGCCTGGATTGGCAAAGTAACAGACACAAATATGTGTCAGTGTGAGTGTGGGAATGCAAGTCGTTTAGAAACAAAGGGTCACCCTTTGCTGTTCACTTGCCCTATTTAGGTATTGTTTAAACCATCCATCATTTATTATTAGGATGGGGTGGGGGAGTTGACGACTGTTCATTTATGCATGATCACCAACACATACATCAAGCTGCCTGGTCATTCTCTGCGCCATAATACACCTTCTTTGGACGGGCCTTGTCTCTTGGCCCTGTAGGCTTGCGATAGGTATCAAGATGTGGGAACATCTCTGAGAGGGTGAGGCTCTCGCTGATGATGTGACGGATCGCAGTCCCGCTGACCCATCCGCGTTTGTGGCGGTCGCTGTGCTCTTTGAAACGGGTGAACATGTTGGCGAGGAATCCATTGCAGATTTGTGTGATGTCCTTGATGTCCTCTGCCGACCAGGCTGGCAGCGCGGCCTTGAGGCTGGCGGCATCCACCAATGTGTCGTCGGCATTGTCCTTGTCTGGCTTCTCCATTCTTAGCACCTTGAGCAGTGTTGGATTTATCACCTTGTCAAGACAATGTGACTGTCTCTTTGAGGCTGTCAAGTCCTTGGCGGTGGTATAAGTGTCGTCCATTTGTTTACAGAGATGGGACATCATGTCGCGCAGACACTCTTGAGCGCATGGATAGAATATGACACGTTGTTGTTTCAGTCCGGCTACAACCTTGGTCATTTTGACCATAGTCTCATCGTCGGCCACTGGATAGAACTTTGGATACTCCTTCACGGTCTTTGCCTTGCTCTTCTTCTTTGGCTGAACAATCTCCTCTTCTTCCTCATCATTGCACTCCTTCTCGTCCTTCACTTGGTCTTGCTCATCCTCCTCCACCTCCACCTCCTCCTCCTTCACTTGCTTCTTCACTCTTGTTGTGGTTGTTCTCTTTCTCTTTGATCCAACTTCCTTGACCTCCTCTTCAACTTCATCTTCCTCTTCCTCTTTCACCTCTTCTTTCTTGACTTGTTTGGCTGCTGCAGCCGCCCTCCTCTTTGTGATGGGTGGGGCTGGCTTGGCTTCAACCTCATCTTCACCATCCTCATCCTCATCATCTTCTTGATCATCACCGCCATCTTGCCTCAAGAATGAGTATGCCTCTTCATCCAATCTCTTGCCAGCCTCGATTGACTTGTTTACGAATTGAATGTTGACGACATGGGCACCAGCCTTGATTGCTCTCTTTACATTGTTTGTCTTCCTATTGAAGTTCTCCTTTGTAGTGATCAGATGTGTACACCTGGCATTGAACATATTCTCTGTCTTTCCTCCATGTTCCACAACAGATGCCTTGATCGTTGGTTGAGGATTATCAAACTTGCCACAACAAGTGATCACACAACCATCAAACACCGTCTTCTTCTTTGTCATTGTATTGTTATGTATTATGTATGTATTTTATATTCGAACAGATATTGGATCATTCAACTATCTTTGGCAAAGGGCACGCGCATACCTTGTACAATTTCGTCATTGAATCTCAAGGTCATGTAACCTTGATTTCCACTAAATTGAGATCTTTACTCTCAACGCTTCGACAAATCACTTTGGTTGTGTAGTTCATTATTATCCTTTACATGGACCAAGAGACACAACTTGTCAAAGTATGTCATACAATATTTGTTGATTGAATGTTGTCTGTGAAATAAACGATTGATCGGATGAATGAGTGAATGAACCTACCCATGGGTTCCACATAAAAGAAAGAATAGCCGACAAACCAATCCATTGCCTTATTGAAGAAACGAACGAATGAATGAATGATGAATGAACCAAAGATCGGTTATTTGGATCCTTACAATGAGCAGTGCTCAAGTTACATTATGTTGACAGGTGGAGATCATGTTCTGCAAAGTTAACAACTTCAAAACGACCTGGATGAGGGGTGTGTTATCAATCCTCCACCATCAACAACAACGACCACAACAATCAACGATGAAGATCAACAATCCTTCATCAAGAGAATGAATGGATGAATAAATAATAAAAGATAGGCTATAATGGCTTTTGATTGGTGGATGCGTCAATGATGTTGATCGCTCACTCTTTCGTTGCGAGCTCCTCAATATCGTTTTGAGGCTCCTCGCTAGGACACTCGTCCAACTTATTGAACCAAAGGAGATTGAACCAGTTACGACATCGGGACACAATGGGTGCGACATGTTCTTCAGAAGGGCCTTATCCTTGTCTGGCTATCACCCAGTGTGAGGTGCCTTCCGCAGATCTTCAAATTCGATGAAGGGGTGGGTATCGTGTGGTCTTTCTAGCATCCTCTAACAAAACAAACACACAATTTGATTTTTTAGATCCATCACAGGGCATTAGCATCATCTGACCCTGATCAGTCAACTAGTTTGTGATACGTGTGAGAGTGGGGTGTATAGCTATGGGATGAGGCCAAGAAAGCAGCTGACGTACATTCAAGCGAATCACTCATTCTTCATTCATTCATTCATTCATTCCCTTTACTGATGTTGTATAATAAGATATAGATAGAGATAGATCTGAACTTATACTGATTTGACTAGTTATCTGTATGTTATCTCTTATCACTTATCAATCAATCAATCAAATATAGAAAGTGCGAGTGTGTGAGTGTGTGGGACAACTCTTAGGAAGTACCATTTGATGCGTAATCTCATTATCAAACAATCAACATATCTAAATGGCAATGATATTACGCATCGATGGTACTTCCTAATAGCTGTCCAAAATATGGGACCAATCTGGAAAGGAAAGGGGTCAACGAAAGGTGGGACAAGTCCTGTTGTCAAATGTAATAAAATACATACAGATACATTGGAATAAATATTATATGACTTTATTGTGAAACTCTTAATATATATATCTAACGCAAAGCTTCAACAATGTCGACAATGTGTGTGGACAGGGTCGTGGACAAATCAACAATCATGAACGGAATATGATTGGCCATGTCCTCATTGATGAGTTGGTGAGCCACCATCCATCCCATATCATCTTGAAGTTTGGTAAGGGCATCCAGCAACACGAGTTGATTGATTGGTGATGTATGGGTCGTAGATATCTCGGCCAGCTCACGAATCATGGTGTACTCCAAGTGAGCAACTGATGCCTTGATGGCCAAGGTACCAGCATACTCGAGTACTGTGTCAAGGTCTTTGAAGTTCTTTGGCATTCTATCCAGTCTGGACATGAGCTCCTTGGACCTCTTGACATCTCTCTGATGGAATAGATTGACCAAACTGTTGAGATCAATTATGTTGGTCCTTGGAATAAGGTCTACCGTGTTGGCAACATTTCCAGGTAGTATCCTTGATTGCATCATATACTTGGCAAATTGTATCATATTCAAAGTACGATCAGTATGGACAATATCAACATCACAATTACCAATGATGTTCTGGCACTCCATCATTGTAGATATCGAGTGACTGGTATATAGTGCCTTGATACCAAAGCAATATGGTCTTGCATCCTATTATTATAATCGATTGATTAATATTTTGGAAATAATTATTATTATATTATTCTACTTACTTTACTTCCGATACGGAATAATGATTGGAGTCGGTGAGTATATAGGTCAAATGTGATGGTTCTGGCAATTTGAACCATTAGTCGGGTGTCGGTGGTGTGATTTGATCGGTGTTTTTGGGTGAAGTGGACAGTGTCGTAGAGGCATCTTCTCAATCTCGATGGAAATTCTTCTTTGAACTCCCTGAACTTTACTGGAGATATCAATCCTTTAAGTTTTGTAACATCAAAGGAATTGGATACTCTTGAGGATATACCTTGGGATACCAAGTTTGAAGTAGGCAAGTTCATTGAGCTGGCAACTTCATTCGGTGATAGATGTCCAATAACCTAAGGGAAGTATATTAATATATTATTATTTTGGGAATAAATTATTTTCTTTTAATATAATTACCCTTTCGATTCTTTGTTGAGCAATTTCCATATTTGATTGAATAAATAATTAATAAATAAATAAATAATATATATAATAGTTATATGTACTTGAGATTTAGGAGTACCTCCAAGTATTATAATATGGTCGACGTCAAAGTTGGGATTATCAAAACATGCAATGGACTCCAATGTTGTAGGCTTCCTTTCATAGACTGTGTTAGTGTCTCTTGGTATGCCTCTTCGAGGTTATTGCCTTGGCCCTGGCTGATGATCAGTTAACTGTGTTGTAGGTGAGTGTGATAGATGTGATGTGTTGGTGATATAGATTAATTGGTAGTCGATATACGAAGATAATATTGGTGATTGTAATGTAATGTAATTAATGAACTAAACTAACTGAAGATGGGTTGGTTAGATTACAACAACAAGATAATGGATGGAACCTTTACCTTAATAATCCAAACATCCAACCATCATCATTAACATTATTACATCAATCCATTCATTCTATCATTCAATCATTCAATCTTCCAACTTTCCTCTCCTTCACTCTCACACTCACTAAACTAAACAAGCAATCAATCAATCAATCAAATAATAAATCCTGGGGGCTTCGACCATGGCATGAACGGCATGGTATGGCCGCTCAAACAAACAAAGGGCACACCTTAAAGGTCTAAATTAATTTGATTAGATGAAGGATGTAAAGCGTATCTATACGCCTCTATATGGGTATAGGGGTATTGGAGTTGATTGATTGATTACCATAAAGATATCATTTGGAGGTTGTATCTCTCCATCGCCATCATCACCAACACCATCACCGGAGGCCGTGGCCAATCAAATCAAACAGTCTCTCACCCATTGCCACCACAAACTACATCATCACAAGGGCACCTTCCATATAAAGGCCTTCTTGTATAACGCATATAAGTTGGTTAGTTGGTTGGTTTGTTAGTGTGTACAGTATATATTGTTATTGTTGCTGTTCACACCCAAACACTGTCATACAGACACAGACACAATGATCTAAACCATTATGTAACAGAATGATTGAGTGAAAGGAGCTGGATTGAGTGTGTGTGTTGTGTGATGATCAGTGCATGATGGTGTGAGAGTGTTAATGTTAAGGCCTGCCCACTACTCACTACCACTCGACAAACAGACCTTTATCCATCTATTCATACTACACACTATCACATCACAGACTATAAGTATAATTGATTGTTTGATTGTTTGATTGATCAATCAATAGATAGAGAGGGAGGTGTGATGGATGCAATGGATGGTGGTGTTTGGCCACACACTATCCCATCACTATATTTACATCATTAAGATAAATCATGTGATCATCATCAATGGGCATGTGCGATGTTGAAGTTCAATCGATCATGACAGACTGGACCTGAACACGAATGCAAGAACTCGTAGCCCTCTGGAAGATTGTCACCTAGACGCCATATATCCACCTTGTTGAGTGCATCTAGAACTTCATCATGGTCAACAAAGTAGTTGGTGTCGATATATGAATGAGATTGCAGGGCATTCACATGGACATCAACTTCCTTTGGTAGGTATGATAGGTTGGAGCATTGTAGGATACTTGGTCCATGTTGTTGCGAAAGTTCAAGGTTACACTTCAGACCACTGGCCCTCTCAAGTGCCTTCACTGCATATGGATTGCATGATGCTAAGCCTGCAGCCCTCCAGGTAGTTCCTAGACAATTATATACCAATTGTTGTCCAATACCACGATGTCGATGTTCTCTCTTGACTACCAACTGAGTGATCCATCGTACTTCTCCAAGCTCAGGTGTACTGAACACTCTATATAGTGCATGACCAACATGTTCACCATTGTCTATTGCCAGTGATGCATAACATTGATCGTCAAAGAGGAATTGTTTCTTTAGTTTGTTAGCCGTCAACCTAACATTCTTTCCAGGTTGCAGTGGAGGTTGGACATGTTTGCTCCACACTCCATATTTAGTTGAGAACAAGTTGGCACATTGTTGGATCTGGTCATCAGTCAGCGAGTCTGCTTGAAGGATATGATAGTTGACCATGGTATCTATCTATATGTACATGAATAAAGGTAATGATTGTTTGCATGAATGAATGAGTGAGGATCGTGGGCTGGCTTCATTATCAATTACCAATGCCATCTTTGGGAATCAAACAAACAATATAAGTCCAGATGGGACCGAAAGAATACATATCAGTGCTGTTGTTTATTGACACTGATTGGGATTGATTGATGCGGGGGATTGGTCGGCACAATGTACAATTGGTTGGTTGGCTGGTTGTCAATGGTTCAGATATTTGTTGATGTTGTTGTTGTTGTTGTCGACGACAGCAATGACAAGTCGTCAAGTCACTGCCGCCATCAGTCAGTATAACCATCTAACCCAAATTAAGAAGAATATTCTCTTAATAGTTGTCAGCGTTGAAGGCTCTTGGGATCTTGTTCTGAGTGAAGTGATGCTGATGGTTCAACTCGATCAGTCTGTCTCTGCAGAAGTCAGCTCTCTTTTGGTTCTCGTTGGCGTCCTCACCTAAAGTAAAGTAAGTAAGTAACATGAAGGAAGGAAACAGTGTCAATTGAAATCATCATGTTATACATACCAGCGACGGCCCAGTTGATTTGGAAAGTGATTGGCAACTGTTGGTATTGCTTGAAGACCTCCTCAGTCTTTTCCTTTGGGATATCATCAGCCTTCAAAGTCTCCTCAAGCTGCATCAGAGTATCCTTTGTCTGCATGACAGACTCCTTTGCTCTCTGTGGATCGTAAACAACTCCCTTTACAAATGTCATTGTGTTATTATTATATTAATAGATAAGATTATAAAGTTATAAATATGTTATATGTTTGAAGATATATTATTAGTTGAGTGAATGTGTGAATGAATGAATTGAATTGAATGAATGAAAGGATGTCAAGTTCACTTCCTCCGAAACGGATTCCCCCCCCCATTCAAGATTCAACAACATTATTAATAATTAATTATATATAAAGATCTTTAGTTGTTTGTGTGTGTGTGTGAACAGATGGATGTAGACTTATCACCTTTTATGGGCAAGCATATCACCTTTTTTTTTTATTCAATACAATAAAATATAAATAAATGAATAATCGGACCGATAAAGAAATGATTCCATTTCAGTATTCCCGATTAGACAATTATACATGCTACTCTACACACTCTAGACCCATCCCATTCATTAGCGCGCCATTGATATTTACTTGTATCAATGCATCATACTATTTGTTTTGTTGTCTGGTTGGAACCAGACAAAGCCTCGGAATACTCTTAGGCCGCGCGATACATGTCTCGATATCATCAGATAGACCACCATCATCAATTGCAATTGAAAGAAAGAGAGATGTTTATTCATCATATGCTCCTTTGTCAATCAAATACATTGACAATGTATCGATGATCCATTGATTGGTTTGGATGATTGTGTACGAACTACTTGGTATCAGATAGTTTAGACTGATAGAATGTCGATTGAGTATTGAAGTATTGATTGGTTGGTATGATGAAGAGGTCAGGAGAGTGCTGCTACTGTGGGGACATATTGCTTTAACTCTCCATTAATGGTCGTTGCGTAATTAGTAGCCTGCTAATGCGCAGGATACTATTGATGCTTGAGTAAGGAGAATGAATAAATGAATGAAGGAATAATGAATGAAGGAAGGACTTTGACGCGTCAAGAAGAGGAAGAAGTAGAGGAATATAATATCGAGGGGCGACTTAATTTACATGGAGGCACCAGCGTCCTTTTGCTTCTCTGACTTGACCTTGTAGTCATAGATGGCACGCTTGATTGCCTGCTCGGCAAGCATGCTGCAATGCATCTTGACGGGTGGTAGAGAGAGATGCTTGGCAATGTCTGTGTTCTTGATCTCGAGGCACTGATCCAAAGTCTTGCCTTTGATCCACTCGGTGGCCAACGAGCTGCTGGCAATGGCGGAGCCACATCCAAACGTCTTGAAGCAGACGTCCTGAATGACGTCGTCCTTGACCTTGATCTGGATCTTCATGACGTCGCCACATGCTGGTGCACCAACAACCGACGTGCCAACCATTGGGTCATTCTTATCGAAAGAGCCAATGTTTCTTGGGTTGTTATAATGATCGAGTACACGCTCATGATAGAATCTCTTTGTCAAGTTGCCATTGTTGTTGATGTTGTTGCTGTTGCTGCTGTCAAACAATGTAGTTGAAGTGATGATACCTCTGTTGATGCCCAATGTGCGAGTCATCGACATATTAGTGTATCTAAGAGTATTGCTTAGCATTGTCAATGTCTTTGATGAATTCATTCTTTTATATATTATGTATATTTATATATATGTGTATAAATAATTAAATAAGTAAGTAATGAATGAAGAACTAACAAACAGTATTCTATGTATGGTTATTATCAATTAATAATAATAATAACAAGTGAGAGAGAGAGACAGCAGCAGAGTGTGTGAGAAGCTGGTGTGACCCTATGGGACAACGAAAGTGAGAGGACTCACTTGACTTGTTGACATGAAATGTTCACACAACACCATTTCGAAAAAACAAACAATACTTGGACCAAAGAGGAAACAACCTAATTCTTTGTCATAAGCTTCTCAAACAACCTATCATGATTCCATGTGCTCACCAATCAATGGATCGATGGATGTCAGGAGGGATGGCGGGGATAGTACTTGTAGTTGATATTATGTTGTAGGGACAACCAATGTCCAAAATATATTATCATGATCATCTGGTACATCATAATATTAGTTGTACAATTCATTCATCACATGTAACTAGAGTTCATCAGTAAAGTTATTGCCAACTAATGACAACAAGTGTTGACTGCCCTCTGGAAGTACATCACTTGAATGAATGGCCGCTCATTGAGATAATATTGTGTGTTGTGTGTGGATGATGATTGACTTTGCGAATGACCTTTCTTGAGTGCTTTGGTCCTTGTTTTCAAATCAACTTGAAATCAGTTCATTCATAGATATATCTCTGTACAAACATATAAATATAAATATATATAATCAATAATGTCTGATGTAAACACAGCTACACCTGCCGCAGCAGCACAACAGCCACAACAGGTCGACCCCAGGATAACACTTGGCAATGGACTATATCTTCTCATTTCACCAGTTGTCAAGGAATGTGATGCCAAGATACAAGAGGTCTATCAATCACAGAAGAACCTATCTGAGCAAATCGATTCACTGTCTAACCGTACGCATCATGACACAATGAATGATGATCACTTACTCACTCAATCAATCAATCAATCAAATATAGAGCTTGATCAGTTTAACAGCCTTACTCAGATACCAACATTACATCCTCATATACAGAAGTTGTTGAATGCTCGTGGTCGCCTGCTGGCTATCAACAGCAAGTTGACTGTGATCATGGGTAGAATGGATAAGTTGTCAGCGACAGTGTTGCAACAGCAACAACAAAAGACATCGGTCACTGATAGGATATCAGGATTCTTCAAGAGCAGCAACAAACCAGCGACACCCACCAAGCCACAACAGAATGCTCCTGTCTCTCAGGTACCTGCTTCCACAGGAGTTGAGGCTACTCCACAGACATCTGCTGAGCAGCCACCTGCTGCCCCAGTGTCATCAACAGTCCCATATGTGTCTGGTGACGTCCAACCACAAGCACCAGCCACAACAACAACGACAGAGGCAAGCAATGAACAATCACAGCCACAAGAGCAGCAGCAGCAACAACAAGATACTACATCAAGCGAAGAGGCGATCAAGGAACAGCCGACATCAGACAGTCAGCCACAAGAGCAACAACAGCAGCAGCAGGAGTAATGGCTCAATCTATCGATAGATTAAACATATAATGTACTAGTATGCGGAATGAGGTTTATTGTAATGTACAGCAGTAGAAGTATGATGAAGAAGATAGATGAGCGAGTTGTGTATGCAGCGCGACGCCCACACGGAGTGGACAGCAGCGCTGGCGGTCGATTCAGACTCGATGAGGAGTCCGCGGGTTGCAAGGCGGACGGACATGTACATGTACAGGACAGTGGGAGACCCGGGGATTGGACATCAGAGGTTATGGCGGACGGGCGAACAAGCTTGGCTTGGCATGCCTCGAGGCAGTAAATAAATATGGGAATAGTGGGCGTGATGGAGAGGGTAGAGGCGAGGCCTCGGACCTGGTTCGAGACTATGCATCCGGGATCTTGTTCAAAGGGATGGGCTGGTTGTTCTTGGCCGTCAGTCCGCTGTTGTTGGACACGGTGGTGGCCAGCTGGAGCGAGTTGAATGCGTGCTGTATCAGTTCGCGCTTGTCCTGTGCGATGTTCTTGGAGATGATTAGGTCGACGACGTCCACCTTGAGTGCGGTGATCTCGATGTTCTTGTCATAGATAATGGCCAGCGTCCACTCAAACTCAAACTCGGGCTCGGCGTCGGTGCCCGCCGTCGATTGTTGGCGCTTCGAGTGCACGGCCGACATTGATCCGTCCTCCTCAAAGACAATCTGCATTCGCCATGATCCACGCTTGTCGCGGAATGGCAGGTCCTCAAACAGATTGGCTTTGATAAAGTAGTAGGCTGGCAGGATGATCTTCTGATGACAGGCCTTGAGCAGGCGGATCATGCGGCTCTGTTCGGTGACCACGTTGGACAGCAGCGCCAGCAGCTGCTGGGATATGTCGCCGCTGCTCTTGATGTAGTTGGTGTACTGCTCCTTGATCTGTGCCGCCTTCTCGGGTCCGTCCAGCAGTTGCGCCAGCGTCAGCAGCATCTGCAGAACGACCTCCTCCTTCTTGAGCACCACCGACGTTGTGATGCCATGTGACGTCAGTGTGGTGGATGGCGCGTACTTGGACGACTCGTCCGAGGCACCGCCGCTGGCCACCTCGCCCGACGACCGGCTGCTCGACGACTCACCGGTGGCTGTGGGTGGTGGCAGTGTGTTGATGGTGATCGAAGTGCCTGCGACGCTGGGGAATGTCATGTCGGCCAGTCGGTCCAGCTTGTCGACAATGTCGATCTTGTGGCCCAGACGTGGCACGTCCGTGTGAATGGCCAGCTTCTCGTGCGATCGCTTCCAAATGCCAATGGTGTTGGACTTCCAATTGATGGCCACCTGATTCAAATTGTTCTTGTGTTCATCGTGCAACAGCTGCTTCTTCTTGTTTGCTGAGCTCAATGAAGTACTCTTTGCGCTGGCTGATGTCCTCCTCCTCCTATTAATGCTCTCGCGGCTATTATTCTTTGATACACATGATCCCATAATTGAATGAATGGATGGATTGAATGATTGATTGATTGGATGGATGGATGAATATTGTAGTTACTAAAGACCAAAGAGATAGACTCCACTGTTGTTGTTGATGATGATGATATGATGTAAGTTAATAAGACTGTTCCCTGTTTGTTTGTTGGATGATGATGTTGATGTTGTTGTTGTTGTTGTTGTTTGCCACTGCTTGCTTTCCTGTTCCAACTCCACTGCATCAATCACAACATAATCAATCAAACAATCAATCCAACAACAACCAACAACCAACAACAATTACTTGCTGTTGCTGTTGTTGCCGCTGCTTGCTGCTGTTGCTAGCTGTTGCTTCTGTCATTTGTGGGGGCGGCGGTGTTGATGGTGGTGTTGTTGGTTGGCGAACAGTGTGTGGAGTGGAGTGGAAGGGTGGCAGGTGGATTGGTCGGTGGACACAACAGATGTAGTTGTTGGCAACAGTAGCAACAACAACAACAGGTGATACGATGCGTATCGTCAATCTGTTATCACATCTAACTGGCTCTATTTATAAATAAGGTCGCCGTGGTTGTTGAGTGTACTGGTATGTGTGTCGATTGAGTGATCACGTGGTTGAAGTGTTGATCTATCCCCACCCACGTGCCTATCACATCAATTGGCGGGTGATTGATTGATTGATTGATTGATGGATGGGTGATCACACACACTCACACACACTGGACGATGTCTATCAATTAATAACACCGAAATCAACCATCTCCGACAATAGTATGCAAATTGTGAGATGGTCAGACAGACATATATTCATGACCAAGTTATGTGTGTTGTGGACAAGTGTGTGATGAAGCTGACAGAGGTCAGCTGACAAGCAACCAAATGGTATACTATTGTTATAGTAGATATGTGGAGACTCCACATTGTGTCCTTTGGTTTACCAATCAACACCCATTGTATGTACTACACTCCACTCCACTCCTTTTCTCGCCACATATATGTAGTAGTTGTATTGTAGTTGTATCAGCTGATGCTGCAATGCAAGGTTTGATGCCAATACCAAAATACACAATTTGCATTTGGGACCTATGATTGATTGATTGATGATGCTGGTGTTTATACATTATAATGTATACTTACACAACAATAGTTAAGTTAATATATATTCTGTATCTGTATGTTTGAATGAATGTAGAGAGAGATGTAGTTGTTTGGTATCAATAATTCAATCACTCAATCACTCACACACACACTCATCATCAATCAATCACACATAAGTTTGTAAACGTGATGGATCTATTGAGTGTTTGGATTACCTTGATGTATCGCTGAGAGATGAGGGGCGAGTCTTATTACCAGCTGGTTCAAACAACCAAAAAGGCTATAACCGATCCAACGTGATTGGACTTGCAAAACAGTGTTGTTGTGGACCAAATGGGCCTTGCTCGTCCCAGTGGGGGCCATTGTTTAAATCAAAAATATATTGCCGATCAACACACTTAATCAAGGTCCACCACGCCCCCATTGATGTCAACGTCACCCCACACACAATCAATCATATCCACTAATCTCAATCACATGATTGGTGGACCTTGCTCAACTCTCAGCCAATCAAGTCTGGACACTCACACATCATGATGTCCTGTCCTGTCTTTATTTCTTTATCAACAACACCAACATCGACACAAAGACAACTAGAGTACAGGATAGCAGTACCATGCTACTACCACTTGTGACAGACTTGTTACTTCTTGCGAGTTTGGTATCCATGTATTGGTAGGGCTTGGACGAAGACTTGGCATTCTTGCCCTTCAGGGCTTGGACAACTTCATCACTCACACGCTCAGCAGACTGGAGGGCGCCTTCCATGTACCCGGCCCACTGCATGCCAGTCTCGGAGCCAGCAAAGTGTATCTTGTCCACTGGTTGGCGTAGCGCATTGCCTACAGAGGTGATGACGCCTGGCGGACAGAGCGATCCATAGCCTCCGAGTGAGTAGCGCTCGGCCATCCAATTCTGGTCAATGTATCGCGTGGGTTGGAGTGCGCGGTCGTCTCCAAACGACTTGTGAAGCAGGTCGATGACCTCCTTGCGTCTGTCCTCTTGTGGACGGTCGGCCCACTCTCTCGCCGAGTTGCCTTCGAAGAAGCCCACGATGGATGCTCGCGAGCCGTCCTCAAACGAGCCGTCGTAGCACACACATATGGACTCGCGATCACTCACAATCTCTCCGGCAAAGCCTAGGTCGCGCCAGAAGCACGTGTCGTAGAAGATCACAAACTTGATCACTTGGCCCATTGGCATGCGCTGTGTCAAGTGCTGGCGGGGCGTGGGCAGTGCCGGGGAGTATTGGATGCGTGTGGCCAAGATGGGCGGTACCGTGACAACTACGCGTCGAGCGTAGAATCGCTTATTATTGTTGCAGGTGATGATGATCACCTCATCTTTGTGGTCGATTGATTGCACCTCATGCTCCAGATGCACGACTTGGTTTCCAAGTCGCTCATTCATTGTCAATGACAACTGATGTGCGCTGCCAAGTATCCTGTCCTGCTGTGCGCCCTTCTCCACCTCGAGGCAGGGCATGACGCCGCCCGCCGATTTGAAGTAGAACAGCGCGAACAACAATGATATCTCGGCAGGGTCGGCCGAGAACACTGCGATCAGGGCAATGTGGATCAGTTTCTTGGTGATCTTTGAGTATACATTGCGATCGATCCATTGTTGCACTGTGATTGAGTCCAGCTGGGCGGCGTTGGGCGAGAGGTATGGCGCCTCAACATTTATCGTTTGGCACAATCTTTCCAATCGCCACAATGTAATATTGGTCTCTATCATGCCAAATATGTTGAGGGGTGGAATGGTTCCAGAGTAACGTGAACACTTTCCATCAATTTCCAGCACCTTCTTTCCATTCTGTTGTTGTGGGAATGTCTTTTGTCCACTCTCCTTAACCAAGTCCAACACTCTTCTTTGAGTTGGACCAACCCACTGACCTCCAACATCCCATCTATATCCATCAACAACAACCGAGTGCGTTCGTCCACCTACTCTCTGTGTTTGATTGATTGAAAGATTGATTGAATAATGTTGAGTGAGTGATTGATTGTTTGGACATTGATGATGGTACGTACATCTCTGGCCTCCAACACACAAACATCAAGGTCCTTCTCTTTCAATAAGGTGGCAGTGCGTAGTCCTGAGATACCTCCACCAATCACAATACAATCATATATTCTATCTTGCATCTTTAACTAACTAATATATATATGTACAAACTATGAAAGAATGAACATGTGTTCTTGTTTTAAAGAGTATGATGAACTCTTAGGAACTCAGGTTTAAAGTTGATCAGCTGATTGAATGGTGTGTGGGGTGTCATCATTGTCATAGACGGGTGTGGTTCCAATCGATCAATCTTAACAAGTTCATTTATGGGCATAATGGGAAAGATGTAGTTTATTGAGAAGATGATGATTGGGATGGTTCCGATGAAGATTGTTTCTTTGATTGATTAGGACAAGTACGAGGCTTATACCAGAAGTATAATACACCTGCAAAAACTAATATACCAAGACCAACTACTTGCATACCTCCACCGAATGAGGAGGCCAATGGTGCGATCGATCCTTTGGTACACTTTCCACTACTGCTCGTTGATGGATCACTACCCTCACTTTGATGAGGACTACTAGTTGATGAATATAATCTTTTGGACTGTCCTAATAACATGTTGTTGGTACCACTTGTCATTGAATGACCAGACCTCCCTACTATTACTCCTTGAGTCAATCCATGTGATCTTTGGATCATTGACTTATAAAGTACATTTGTTGTTGTGGATATTGCTTGTCTATGTGCCATAGTTACTAAAGTTGATTGATTGCTTTGTTGATTGATTGATTGATTGATTGAATGAATGAGTGATTATCACTTACCTCCACTTGTTGGTGTTAAATAGCAATTCAGTCAATGACTGATCAGCTTCTTATTCGAACAATAGAGTGGTATCGACTCAATCTTGTAACAATGGTGTGTGTATGTGTCAAGTGGCAACGACATTTCTTTTGCAAAGACACATTCTCATGGCGAGACTACCCACATTCACTCATTCTCTCTCGATTCACTCACATACTTACTCAATCATTCGGTCACCTTCAGATCATCCAACATCATCTAACATCACATTCATTTATACATATTGATTATGTGTTACATCTTATAACAATGTAAGTTAGAAATAACTTTGGCTCAGCTCCAAGATGTTGTCGAAGTTGGCAATGATCTTTTTAAGAGTTGATAAGTTGTTCGGGACAAGACGATGTTGTGTCCTTTAAAGTTGATACTGACATCAAGAACCTGCAAAGATTGAGCAATCGGGCCCCATGTCATCTCGGGCCCCACTCTCAGTGCGAACAAGTGCCGAAATTGAATCTTGGACATTGCCTTGCGTGATGAGGATGGAAGAAGATTCAATTTGGGATGCATTGAGTCTGGCAATCTGCAATGCGTTCAACTTGACTTGCTGACTTCGATTACTTTTATTATAACTTGTATTACTTGTATTATACATACACATATATAACATATACATAAATAGAATGAATAATAATTATATTGTTACATTACTTTGTACATTGATTGTTGTTGCAGTCAATGTCAATGCTAAAGCCAACACAGAAGTAGCAGCAGCCACAACAACATACTTTAACCCTGCTATAAACTGGGGTGTATGGGAAGGCTGGGGAACATCATTGGCATGGTGGGCACAGACATATGGTGACAACACTGTGTTGGCCGATGTATTCTTCACAACCAGCAATGTTACATACCAAGACACAGAGTTGCCAGGCCTAGGACTCAATATTGTTAGATACAATGCTGGCGCCAGCACATGGGTCGAGGCCTTTGGTCACAAGATGGTCGTCTCGCCAAATATCCACCGATCGCGTCAGGTCGAGGGCTACTGGCTCAACTGGAACTCGTCAGACCCGCAGTCCGACAGCTGGAACTGGAATGCCGACCCCCTGCAGCGAAACATGATGGCAATGGCTCGTGATCGCGGCGCCCAGTACTTTGAGCTGTTCTCAAACTCGCCAATCTGGTGGATGACCTACAATCACAACCCATCGGGCGCCGACCTGCCCGCAGACAACAACTTGCAGACCTGGAACTACCAGAACCACACCGTCTACATGGCCACCATTGCACAGTACGCCCAGCAGCACTGGGGCATCAACTTCACCTCGGTGGACCCATTCAACGAGCCATCTGGAGACTGGTGGCTGGCTGCCGGCACCCAAGAGGGATGCCACTTTGATGTCAAGGCACAAAAGGATGTGATCCCATACATGCGCGCTGAGATCGACTCGCGCGGCCTGACCAACACAATGTTTGCTGCCAGTGACGAGAACAACTATCAGCGTGCCCTCGACACCTGGAACTCTTTCGACGCCGCAACCAAGAAGGCTGTCGACAAGGTCAATGTCCATGGATACGAGTTGTCCAAGGGTCCACGTGCCGAACTCTACCAAGCTGTCAACTCCCAGGGCAAGGTTCTCTGGAACTCAGAGTATGGCGAGGGTGATATCACCGGTCTGTCGCTGGCCACCAACCTCCTGCTCGATCTTTCCGAGCTTCACCCAACAGCATGGGTCTACTGGCAGCTACTTGACATCTCTGGATGGGGTCTGATTGAGGCTGATGAGGACACCAACACCACTGGCCCAGTCGCCACCAAGTACTATGCATTGGCTCAGTTCTCGCGCCACATTCGCCATGGAATGACTATCATTGGCTCGAGCGACAGTACTTCCGTGGCTGCCTACGATGCCAGTGCCAGCAAACTGGTGGTTGTCGCTGTCAACACTGCAAGCACTGCTCAAACGATCACATTCGATCTGTCCAAGTTCACCACTGTCAATGGTGGCGTGGGCGGTCTTGTTGGTCGCTGGGCCACCGATACCAATGGCAAGGGAGACCTTTACACCTACCACGAGGACACCTACGTCCAAGACAAGACGTTCAGTGTCACCTTTGATGCTGGCTCCATTCAAACCTTTGAGATAGAAGGAGTAATAGTATAAAATAAAGAGTAGTAACTAATGTTGAAGTTCTGTATCTTTAATCTGGCGCCCTACCTGTTTGATCAATACAACACACTCTCACAATCAATCAATTATACACACACCACTCATCAGAATGCTCGTTCATCACTCAAAGGATGACCTCCACATCACCCACTATCCAGCTAATGAGCTCCACACAACATAAACAAGGTGGTAGAGTGTTGTGGTTGTTGTTGGTAACACCTTGACGGTCAGGTGGACCAAGGCAATTGATGCCCCTTTGATACCTCTAAGAGAAGGATTGATTGATCAGTGGTGTATCTCTATCACTAACACAACTACGCACTCACACATATATATTAATATATATATATATATACGCACACCTCAGCAAGCGTACTATTCTATTCTTGGGTTGGTATCCAGGAGTACCTTCCTCTTCCACCTTTCAAACTTGAGGAGGGTACATCAACATATTCTTAGTCCACCTATCCATCTCAACCCTAACCCAATTTCCTTTTGTTGTAACTGTTTGAATGTTGTTGTGAACATCGTTAATTGTTTCGAATGACTACATGAAGTATTGAGGGATGGATGGATACCTCCAATTCCCATCACTCAGTCGGTCAGTCCAATCAATCCCTTTACACACATATTACCAATATAGACTATAAATAATTATTATTATCTCTCTGGTCTCTTTGGATATTTAGTTAAAAGCTTCGAAGTACAAGTATTGTAGGATTATTATTATTTATTTCACTAGATACTGGAACAAATTACATTTGGAGTAGTACTACAAAGGACACAATCACATAACAACATTTTCATACATACAACTTAGTGAAGGACAGTCTACAATCATCATTGATAAATCAGGTTGCTTGGTCACACCGTACCTTCATTCCAATCCCCAATCAATCAATCAATCAACACCACTCACAAGCACATACACACACATATACAACCCCCCAACCCATGATGGTCAATCAATCAATGTCCACATCGATAAACACATCCTCACCACACACGACGAATCGGGTATAGGATATCAAGGTTGTAACGATCAATCAGGGATGGCTTGGAAGTGATTTCCAAATCGATGCTTTAAAGCAACATCCAAACTACATCGACCCACATCCAATCATCACAATCCATCCATCACTCAATCTATTGTCAATCCATTTATTGCACTTCATCATCATCATTATCACTTTTCCTCTTTATCTTTTAATCAATCAATCAATCAATCAAATAGGTTTATAGGTAACAACTTGTCTTTGTCTCTCACTCACTTGTCAATCACATGGTCACCAATGGTGACCCACCACAATGGCTGCCACTCCATTCATCCATTCGTCTAACCATCCAATAGTGACAACAGGAAATGAAGGAATGAGTGAAGGAGGTAAACGAATCGAGCGAGATATTGAATTGAATCGGATAATTTTGCATGCTTTGTGATTTTGGTGTGTGATTGTAGTTCTGTTTTGATCACAAGAGTGGACGATTTGCGCATGTTTAGGGGTGATCTGGTCGCCCAACAAACACTCACCCAATCATTGCAATGCGCCTTGTTTCTCTGTTGTTGGTGGCCCCAATCAGACTGTAAAGCCCATCACTAAATTCCATCAAAAAGATGAGAATCATATCAAAACTCTCGATTTATAACACACACATCAACCCTACTCATTCATTCATTTATTCTCATCAATCATATAATTATATATAACATATTACTACATTAGTACAAATACTAATATTAATATATATATATCATAAAGGACACATATAGCGCTTTCAATAATAATCAAGTTCGATCAATCAACTCAACTCAACTTTACTCAACTCAACTCAATCAGATCAGATCTATCTCACATCATCATCACAACATCAAAGGAAAGGCAAAGAATAGAACAGAATAGAGAAGATTATTTATATTCTCATTTTATTGAATACAATATATATATAAAGATGATGATGATGATGTCGGAGGAGGAGACTCCTGCAGCTGCTGGCATTATTGTAGAGGAGGATTACAACAGCTTCTCATCAGACGACTATAGTAGTAATAGCAACAGCAGCAACAGCAACAGCAGCAGTGGCGATGCTTTTGAGGAGCATGATGATCTTAGCTCAAACTCATCAGCAGAAGATTTGACACTCTCATCAACATCGTCATCAGATGAACTAGATGATGGTCATGTTCGCGACATCTCTGTATATCAGACACCAAAGCACCAGCAGCAGCCACAACAACAGCAACAACAATATATGCCATCAAGTGATGCTACAGCTATAACAAAATCACCATTACATCGTTCAAAGTTCGACCCAATCACTCTGGTCGAGGAATATTCCTCCTCTTCACTCTCATCATATGCCAACAGCAATGCCTCATTGTCGAACGAGAACATCTTCTCTGTCATCAAGGAGATCGAGGACGCCGTCAACAGCTGCAATTTGGCCTCGGCTGAGCAGCAACAACAGCAGTCGATCCGCCCGCGCAAGTTGTCCATCTCACAGACTACACTCCCCGTGATGATTCCGGGCTCCGCTTCCATCCCTCCCATTGCACTGTCTGCGTCGGCGCCATCGCTGCCGCAGAGCGTCAACGTCAACATACCCGCTTCCATCACCCTGACCACGACGACCACCACCACAACTACAACCACAACTACTACCACAATGAAACTACCCAACGAACAATGTAATACTACCAACAATCAAACACCAACATCCACACCAACCAAGGGCACACCAAAGTCCAAGAACAAACTGTTGGGTCTGCTGACAAAGAACAAGGACAAGTCGCGCACTGATACTTCTTCGCCATCACCTATGGCCTCACCTACACCAGCCATCATCCCTGCCTCCCCCTCATCAACATCAATCGCCTCAGAAGACAGTGACGAGCACAAGAAGGACGACAGCATCAAGAAGAAGAAGTGGAACTTATCTGTAAATAGACCAAGGATCAAGAAGCATCCTACTGTACATGAGATAGTGCTGGATAGGACAACGATGTCACCATCGTCGACGTCTGACGTTGAGTCATCACCAGTGCGTCTGTCCCCATCCAAGAGGGGCGGCAACAGCGCAGAGAGTATTCTGACCAGAAGCCTCAACTTTGTAACCAATCACACCGGTGGTGGAAACAATCACAGCAAGCGCAACGAGGTCGTCGAGAGCAAGAACAATTTGCCACAGGTCTTCTCTACGCCAACCTCGCCACCAATGCACGCTGATGCATCACCATACCGCCTGTCATCCTCTGTTCCCAACACAATGGACAGTCCACTACACTTTAATCTGCCGCGCGATGATCTTGGCGAGTCGAGCAGTGGCAGCAGCAGCAGCGGTGGCATCAGTGAGGAGGAGACACCAGTTGGCGGTCGAGGCAGGAGCAATGCCTTTTATCTACGCGGCCCACCACCAATGGTCAATGGGGAGTTCAAGATGCCGCTCTTCCAGGAGATGGTCAACAACAACAAACTGCCATCGTCGCCACATCATATACAAACTGGCATTCCCTCGATGCATCCGGTTCCGGCCGTCCTGCCCAAGGACTCATTTTCATTGTTTTGCAAGCCCAATGGCTTGCTGAGTAAGTTCAAGAAGAGCCAGCACTCTGCCACGAGCAAAGCTGGCAAGATCATCAAGAACCACTCGTACCGCTTCACCGTCGGATTCGCCGACACGATTGGCAGACGACCACACATGGAGGACGAGTCTGTCATCTTTGGCACATTCAGGAATCGCGTGGACGAGGACTACTTTGCGCTGTTTGATGGACATGGCGGCGCCGAGTCGGCCGCCTACGCCGGCAACGAGCTGCACAAGACCCTGGCCGACAAGCTCAAGTCGTCCAACCCGGTCAAGGCACTCAAGGAGACGTTCGCATTGGTTCACAACCATATCTGCAACAACAATGTGCGCGGTGGCACCACGGCGGTGGTAGCCCTGTTCATTGGCAAGAAGGGATATGTGGCCAATGTTGGTGACTCCCGTGCCGTGCTGTGCAGGGATGGCATTGCCTACCGTTTGTCGCTGGACCACAAGCCCAACCTGCCAAAGGAGGAGGAGCGAATCAGAAGTCTGGGCGGCACAGTCATCACAACGGTCAACGCGGCCGGTGTAGAGACCAGTCGCGTCAATGGTCAATTGGCAGTTTCCAGGGCACTTGGAGATGCAATCCTTGCGCCATATATATCATGCGAACCAGAAGTCTATGGTCCCATCAATCTCGATTCACAAAACAGGAATCAATTCATGATCCTGGCCTGTGATGGATTATGGGATGTAATGTCAGACGAAGAAGCAATAAGGTATGTCTATCATCCCATTCAATGTTAGCATCACGATTCTAACAATAATATTTCTCTATTCATTAGCATTGTTGCACCAATTTCCGATCAAGAGAAGGCGAGCATCAAGTTGCGAGACACAGCTTTCTCTAGAGGAAGCACGGATAACATCTCGGTGATGGTGATCAAGTTCCCAACATTTGACATGTAATTATAATAATAGTATTAAAATATAACATATGTTCATAGTTGGTTTGGTCAATAGGACACACATGTATATCGGATTTTACAAACTATTCAAACATTCAATCTATCTTTCAAAATCAATCAATCATTAACGACAACTATTGTCATTTGACCTAGTGTATTTTGAGCATAATAGTTATTAAGATTGATCCAACTCTGGATGATATATTTAACCAAGGCCTGGAAATTGAACCACTCGTGGGGTGACCATTTGATCAACCCACACACTTGATGAAGGAAAAAGAAAGTGATCACAGGTGTGTTAGTATTTGTGATTGTCAATACAATGCAAAGCAAACGGCCTTTGATCAAACAATGTGGAGTGTGTGTGTCATTGTTAACTCTAAAGTGCAAGCACACATAGAATAGTACTCAACCATGCACCCTTGAGGCGCAACCACAACATTGTTGTGGAGGAGTAGCTGAGCAGAGATGAATGCAACAACAAAACAATCACACAACAAACATCACCCTTCCAACCAACCATGATCAAAGAATCAACACAAAGTCAAGAGACTCTTTAGGTTCCAAGGTGTAATGCACTCACTATCTCTCTCTCTCTCTCCTTTGCTCATTCAAAGTATCATCATCATAAACCTAGATATATATATTTATAAATAAATAATATATTTTAAAACTTTCATTATTCATTACATGGAGCCAATAACGACATCAACTCCATCATCAACCGATTATAATTTACATAGTAATGTCTGTTTCTCGATCCAAGAAGAGAAGGACATTTCCAAAGTACCCACATGTGATCCAATAATGTCAGTCGATCTCAAACTACACGATCATCAATCAATCAAGTGTAAGTCAACTCTTTTCCAATATTGTCCAATCATTCAATCACTAACTCACTCAATGAATCACTCCAATATCACTGGAATAATTCCAATCACTCGATCAATCAGACAAAAAGAAGACAAAGAATTTATTTGTATCCATACTTAGTTGTTTTGGAGAGGACACATGTATACAGACACCTGCCAATGATACTTTGGGATCAGTTGTGTATGACTCTAATCGTGTTGGAGCATCGGCCAATGATGACTTTTCAAACAATACAGATGCAGTGGTACCAGATAAATACCAAGTACTTCTGCCGCCAATGATGCCAATCACCAAGGGCCTAAAGACTCTGGTGATAGACCTCGACGAAACATTGGTCCACGCAGCATTCAAACCCGTGCCCAACCCCGATGTGATACTCGAGGTCGAGATGGACACTGGCCCCCTAACATTCTATGTCTGCAAGAGACCACATCTGGACGAGTTCCTAGACTACATCCATGGCAAGTTTGAGATTGTCGTGTTCACCGCCAGTCTGGCGATATACGCCGACAAGCTACTCAATATCATTGACAAGAAGCATGTGATCCAGCATCGATTGTTTAGAGATTCGTGTATATTGTATAATGGCAACTACACCAAGGACCTGTCCGTGTTGGGCCGTGACCTTAAAAAGACGATGATCATCGATAACTCACCTCATGCCTATCAATTCAATCCTGAGAATGCCATCCCAATTGGTACATGGATCAAAGATAGGAGTGATAGACAACTGATCGAGTTGATCCCATTACTGGACCATCTTCAAAAAGTGACCGATGTAAGAACTGTCCTGGAAGAAAGATATTCCAGTTAATAATTAATCATTATCAATAATATAATAATAATAATAATAATATGCGCTCAAAACAACTAAACTATTTTTTATTGATTGATCGAATTAACAGAAATATGGCTGGTACTATCCCAATCACTCAATCAAATAATAATAATTTATAATTTTTATTAAAGAATACCAATGGGAATTTATTTGTTACTTTATCTTATGTATTATGATCGATCGATCCAGGTGTCGGAATTCCAATTCATGGATTAGGGGGTTGCATCATGTTCTTCAATCAATTCTTTGATGGAGGGAAAGAAACACACAATCAGAGTCGAATACCTTGATCAATAATGAGTAGTGGTGGTGTTAGGGTCGAATTGAGTATGGTCTACACTCTACACACGTTCACAGTGACCGATGCAATGGGGAAAGGCACTCTCTAACACCATCATCATATGACACACAACTATAATTTGTTGGCATACATTGAGTAATTATTTAACATACTAATCTTGTCCTTCCCTCAGTCTGTAGTTACCCTATTAGGTGTCATCAAATAAATCTCATACATATCTCATAAGCCTCATTTAAAGAATTTCAATATGTTTCGACACACTCACTGATCATTCCATCACCCTAATAGTGATGTGTGTTGTGTTTAATCAATCACACTCGAGTGTGTGTTTGTTTGATTGATTGTTTATCTCTGTGTGTGATTATTACACCTACACTATATACGCCTGTCTCATGGTCAACAGTTAATAAGGTATGTGTGTGTGTGTGAGTATGATTGATTGCCAAGTGAATAGACTGATCAGTCGTTGTGTTTGTGAGTGTGTGTAGTGAATAAGTCGACAAACGACATATATCGTACCCAACTCCCTCCTCACTGGTGATTGGTGTGAGTAAGGGTGGAGGATAGGACTGACTGACCCTCAACCCTCACCACATTATACATCTATCCATTGACACTCCATCCTCAACACCTCTTAACACACACTCTCACACACACACCAACAACATTGATATATGTAGCACACTTGGAATGGTAAGTAGGTAGTGTTAGTACATCCAATCTAAACTAAACTGTATTGAAGTTAGTGGTAGGTACCTACCCTTCTAAACAGAAGGTGTACATGCCATCCACAATCGTGTGGCTGTTGGGTATCTATGTGGTTGTTGTTGCCTGAAGCGGTAGTGATTGATTGATTGATTGACTGATTGACTGATTGATTGATGGGATTTATAATTGGGAACACACAACACAACAAACACAACACAACTGTCGCTGGAGTGATCCAGCCCCCTTGCCAGTCACATCCCACGACACCAACTCACACCGACTCATCATCACCTCAATAATGCATTGGAAATTAATGAGTTAAACTGGATGGATGGAACATAGATATGTATTTATACGTCAATCTTGAGACTGATTGATTAGATCATTAATCATTTTTATCCACCTACTCCTTAAAATAATAATCGCCTACTACTAATACTACTACCATCACTACTTATAACGTGGTTGTCGTCTCCATCCTTGAATTCCAAATCCATCAATCATCATAAGGTCCACCATCAATCCATCTAACCTTCCACCATCAATTAATCGTTCCACTCCATCCTGTTCGACATCCATCCATCCAATCATTCATTCCAACATACTATATAATCTCAATAATTATCCAATATATAATATTTATAAACATTATTTATACTTATAATATATATAATATTTAATATTTATTAATAATGATCAAATCATTAATTATATTGGCATTGATGTCACTGGCAGTGATCAGTGTTACATCACAATGTTATTCATCATCCAGCATTAAGTATGCCACCAGTGGCAAACAACTCACTGTCAATGGACAGACCATGGCCGTGCAGGGAATTGCCTGGTTCGGTCTGGAAACCAACACATTCTCTCCGGGCGGTCTCAGATCAACCAGTGTCGAAGCCCTTCTGGACATCCTGGTGGCCCAGAAATTCAATGTGCTCCGTATCCCATTCTCTGTGGACATGATCCTCAAGCCAAGAATGCCAACTGCAATTGACTACAACCTGAATCCAAACCTTGCTGGAAAGACTGGATTCCAGGTGATCGAATATATTACCAAGGCTTGTGGAGATAGAGGTATCCTTGTTGTTATGGAGTTACATCGTTTCGATCCAAACGACTACATCTCTGAGCTTTGGTACACCACCAGCTGTCTCAACAACATTGATGGCCAATGCATCAACTACACCACCCAAATGGTCATTGATACCTGGATTACTGTTACCAATCAATTGAAGAAATAGTATGTATTAATAATTAATAATTTATTGATAATGGATATTAATTGAAACTAACTTCATCAATCAATCAATCAAAAAAAAGCTGGAACTTCTGGGCCGTCGATGTCAAGAATGAGCCACATGGAGCTGCCACATGGGGCACTGGCAACACAAACACTGATTGGAACACTGCCTTTATCAACATTGCCAACTCAATTCAGAGTGCTACATCATTCAATGGTGTCTACTTCATTGAGGGTATTGAGAATAATGCCGGATCTTTGTGTTCCCCAAGCTCTGGTAACTGGTGGGGCGGCAACTTGTCGCCACAGCAATGTTTCCCAGTGTTCCTTGCCACACCAAACAAGGTTGTCTTCACCCCACACACCTACTGTTCATCCGTCTCTGATCAGCCATACTTCAATGATGCCAACTATCCAAACAACATGCCAGCTGTCTGGGATGCCAGCTTTGGTTTCCTCAGAAACAGAAACTCGCCAATGGTCGTAGGAGAATGGGGATGCGCTACCAAGAACAACAAGAACGTCCAATGGGTCAACGCCTTCACCAACTACCTCAAGTCCACTGGTCAGACCAACCACATCTACTTCTCCCTCAACCCAGATTCAGCCGACACTGACTCGATCCTTGGTTTGGACTGGAAGACTGTCAACTCGAATGTGGCCAGCTATCTGAGCAACATTGGAACCAACCCAACCAAGTTCACTGTGTTCAATGACCAAGTGTGTCTAGGAAACTCGCAGCCATCAACCACCACTGCTCCAGCGACCACCTCGTCGTCAACTACCGCTCCAGCAACGACCTCATCGTCAACCACTGCTCCAGCTACCACCTCATCATCGACCACTGCTCCAGCCACTACCTCCTCTTCCACAACTGCTCCAGCCACCACCTCATCGTCGACCACCGCACCAGCTACCACTTCATCATCAACCACTGCTCCAGCAACCACCTCATCATCCTCCACTACCGCTCCAGCTACAACTTCATCGTCCACAACTGCCCCAGCCACTACCTCATCATCGACAACTGCACCAGCTACTACTTCCAGCTCTACAACTGCTCCATCCACTACAACTGGATCGACAACAACTGGAGGCAACCCCAAGCCAATTACCATCACTCAGTCACTGACATCATCATGGACTGATGGTGCTGGTAAGCCATGGGGAGTGTACAACTGCTACATCACCAACACTGGACCAACTCCACTGAACAATGTACAGCTCAAGGCTACACCAAATGTCAACCCATACCAGTCATGGGGCGCCTTTGTCCCAGCCAACGTCGGTGGCCAGTACATCTGGTCTGCCCAGTCATGGTCCAATCCACTGCCACCCAACCAAGCCATCAACTTTGGCTACCAAATCCAATCGGCTTCGCCAATCTCATTCACCGTGCTCTAAAGTGGTCCACTATCAGCCTACACGTGTCATGATGCCATGGCATGCATGCATGTATATTCTTTCATTCATCCATTGTCCATTATTATATATATATGTCGCGCTCTGCTGCGAAGCAAGTGTGAATACCCCCTAAATAAACCATTACAACTTACTACCAACTTCCACTTCGATCACTTGTCGATTGTATCTTTGAACTTGAACAGCCGAACAATCGAATGGTCTGATTCCTGTGTGATCAGCAGCCGATCATGCATGCCAACATCATCTCCATGTTGCAAATTTGCTTCTTTGAATAAGGACTTTGTTATCCATCTTTGTCAATCGTTGCACAAGTGCGAAGAGTCATGCAAGCTACCATGTTAACATCATCCCTTTGCACTTTGTTTGCTGTTTGTGGCTTCTGCTTCTGTGTGCGATTGACGGCTTTGGTCCAAATAGGTCAACGCGGCATCCACAAACGCAACGCAACGCATGAGGTTGTTCGTCTTTCGACCTTTCGCTTCAATGCGCGCACAACAACAATCTTATCTAAAGATGGAGAAGGATGGGATTGTTTGTCGTTTGCTCTTTCATTGCTGTGACTGTTGTTATGGCTTTTGTGGTTGTTGTGTCTGTGTGTGTAATGTTGTTGCCGCATTGTTGGAATAGCGAATGAAAGGGGACTTGGAGAGATAGAACGTCTCAACCGACCCAAGGACGCCATCCCAATCACTCTTTGTTTGACTTTGTCCCAGTGATGGGGCCGTGTCATTCTTTCAAAGCTGCAAATATCTTTTGTTGATCATTTGCGAGCTTATTGTCCAGCTTCGACGTAAATCACGATAGTACTATGGTTTGTAGGGAATAGGAGAAGAGTAGTGTCGTGCTGGTGTCCTCACAATTTAATATCCACTTTGATGTTGTTGGAGAGGCGGTGGTGGGGGCGCAGAGGGCTAGGGGCGAGTCCATCAGTGTGTTCCCAATACCAAAAACACACCAGGGCAAACCTTGATGCAAAAATCAAAGCTTGATCGACATGGTACTAAGCTTAGCAAAACCTTTTAGAATAATAACTCTATCTATTCTACGTTGATGTTGTTAGTAAGGTGGGCGATGCCAACATATAAGGTGGAAGCCAGCCAGAGCTTATTATTGGTCCAACTTCAACAAAACACAAAGAACAAACAAGTGAGAGTGAGTTGAATGAATGATTGATTGAGTGATTGAGTGCCCATGATTAAGAGTCAACCCCCTCTTCACACACACACACACACAACCCATTACTGATTGATCAATCACTAATCTAACACCACTCTGTTCAAGGCTAAGCACATCAACAATCAAAGACAGATAGATTTGATAGAATAGATAGTTAGACAGACAGACATATTGACAGGATTCACTTACATAGGAGACCATGTTGTAGCTCACTCAATATACCGCGACCAATCAATCCAACATCCACATCCACATCCACTTCCCATGAATTTCAATACCTTCAACAACAACAACCCTGGCGCCTCCTCTTCCACTTCCTCCGCCACTGGCAACAGCAGTGCGCCAACCAATGCCACCACGAGCCCAGTTGGTCTGGGGATGGTCCCACCCTCACTCTCAACCAGCAGCAATAACCTGGCTTCACTAGCCTTTAGCAACAACAATGCGCTCAACACAAACAACATCTCATGGCTGCTGGCATCACAGTCATGCGGCACCGGCGAGAGCAAGGAGAAGGAGAAGGCAAGGAAGAAGCTGGCCGTCTTCCTGGACGCCTCCGCCGAGTCGGTCAAGCGCTTCAAGGGTCTGATGTCATTCATCAGCAACACGGACGACCAGGAGATTGACAAGCTGTTCAAGGACAACAGCTACCAGATCTACCAGATACTACTGTCGACGTTCTCCACGTACGAGCTCGGCCAGTTCAAGGCGGGCAAGCACCATGTCGCTGAGAAGGAGGTGCTCAAGCTGACCGACCTGCTGAAGCGCGTCCTCATCCATCTCGAGGGCTTTGTCAAGAAGGGCTGGCAGGTCAAGAGCATCGTCAACATCCTCGAGAAGATGCTGGGCATCGAGAACATCCAGTCCATCCGCATTGCCGCCTTCTCCACGCTTTTGTTCTTCATCGAGGTCATGGAGAAACCCGACCGCTACAAGCTCGACCTCCTGGCGTCAGTCATTGATTACACGCCCTTTGTCTCGGACTACACGTACCGCCCGACGTTTGCCAAGAAGGTGTTTAGCGGCCACGAAGCCAAGCGATTCATCGTCATTCAAGCGACGGAAGCGCCGACCCGCGAGGACTCGGGTCGACTGGTCGAGCAGGTCTTTATTCACATCTCATCGCGTCTCAACAACTTTGTCTTTTGGTTCGGCATACTCAAGCAGCACTTCCTGACCGTGCTCTATCCGACCGTCTGCAAGAAGGTCGGCCTGCTGGCGGCGTCGGACGCCACCGGCTTTGGCAGTCACTGCCCACACGAGCTTCAGGTCATCGTCATCAACTACTTTGCCAGTTGGTTCGCCTCCAACACATCGATTCGCGAGTATCTCTTGCTAAACAACTTCAACAATGTCAATGGTGGAGCGAGCTCAATGTCGAGATCACCCAGTGCAGATGGTATTGTGTCATCAGCTGCTGGCGGAAGTACTGCCACATCGCCACAACTGACATCTGGCGGTGGCGGTGGCGGTGGTGGCGGCTCACAATTCACAACCTCAACACCTGGCACTGGCAAGGTTGCAATCCTCCTCGAGATCTACAGGCAAAGCTGTCGACTGCCTCTCAAGTATTCCGAGACCATCAAGAAGTCAATCTTCACATTCCATACCTTGTTCTTGGTAAGTCTATACCTCGATCCTCAACCCTCGCCCTCACCCTCGCCCTAACACCAATCAATCAATCAATCAATCCCTAGTCCTTGCTTTATAGTGTAGAGATGGAGAATACGTTTGGAGATGAGTACTATACGCTCCAGACGTTCGTACTTAATGAGATGATGAGTGTATTTGAAACAGATGCGACTGGATATGAGAAGGAACGCGATGCCCTGGGCATGTTCATCATTGGCGTCTACAAACAGATGATCGATATTTATCCCCAGCTGCGACCACAGACACGTGAGATACTACTCACCAGTCTATTGCTGGCCACGACCACCCTTCTTCGCCGGTCCAACACCAACCGACCCAGCTTGTCGCTGGAGCAGGCGATGCTCTCCACCACACTCTTTGCCTGGATCAAGTCCAAGGAGGACCGTGCTGCTATGTGGGCACAATGCAACGTCCACTTTGAGGAGCTATACTTCCGTACTGAGGTCGTCAAGCAGATCAAATCAAAGATGCTGCAGGTGACCATGATCCTCAAGGAGTTTGTCTATCCGACCAGCGAGCGCAAGCAGAAGCGATTGGAGCGTGATCGCAAGGAGCGAGGTGGACCTCGCTCGCCAGACTCACAGGAGCCACTTCCTGACATCCTTGTCGACCAGAGCATCGTGCAAATTGGCTGGGACCAAGAGACATGCTACAGGACATGGATCAACTTGCTGGCACTACTCAACAATGTACATAATATCAAGGATGCACAGATACACGAACTCTCCACAAGCGTGCTAACCGACATTGTCGACATCTTCCTGTGCGCCGAGGAGGAGACCGATTTCTCCACCTCCCAAATCGATGGGTGGCGTCCTGTGCCCCTATTCGACATTGTCGGCGCTCGTCTATTTGACTGCTACAACCTGGACAGCAAGTTCACTCGCAGCAAGGTTCTGGCTTTGCGCAGTCTTTGTCGCATGGTGTGTCGTCATCATCCACAATATCCAACCGAGATACTGGTCGGCTTCTACGACATGGTGAACAAGGTGTTTGTGTCACCCATCGTCCAAGTCGAACTGGCCAATGCCATCCTCCTTCACAGCAGCAACATCTTCAATTTGGCAATGCCAGGAGCCAACTCACTCATCTTCCCTTATCTCAAGTATATCAAGACAATGGTATAGTATTCGTGAAGCGTGTGGACATGTACAGTGCATGTGCTACTTGTACTGACTCATTCAATCATCATCCAGTACTCCTCATTCAAATCACAAGATCAACCACCACCCGTGGAGGTACGCAAGAGGTCCTTGATCATCTTGGGCTCATTGGTGTTCTATCCCAACCATACACCAACATTGGTATTCGAAGGATACAAGGATGAGACTGGCAAGTCCATCACCAAGGATATGACCATGAAGGATGTACGTACATTGATGATCCCAACATTACTCTTGGAATGATTCCTAACCTCAATCACTATTTATATAGCTCAAGAGAGAGTTGATTGACTTGTTGATCATCGCCTTGAAGAATGAGAGAGCTGCGGAGAATAGAATGATGTGCTTGTGGACATTATCAACATTGGTGATGGAGGAGTTTAATAGCCAGGATGTATCACAGGAATGGGTCAACGAGATGATTGAGGTGATCAATGTGTATACTTTATATCATGACCAGGCGATTTCCAAGGCGGCACTGGACTCTCTGGCAGCGATCAATGTGGTCTTCCCCAGACTGACCAGATGCACCATCAACCTCATACTCAGCTCGTTGGTCAACTCCATCCTGAAGGGTATGCAGGAGCTGGAAGCTGGGAATACGGCAGCAGGCATCACTGAGCAGACTATCGCCAACCACTTCTACTGTCTTCTCGATTGGGTCTGCGTGGACGATTGTATCTTTGACGATGACCTCTTCAAAGACTTCAGATCAAATATGTTCCAGGCAATCGAGTCGGCTCTTGGACAGCGTGGTGAGGCATGGTCCACAGCACTGGAGCGCACTGAAGACGTATACAAGGTCCTAGCGAGGACTCTTACCAAGAAGATGACCGCACCAAAGACTCACAGCAAAGGAAAGAGTGTGGACCTTTCACTTGAGGAGGATGCACTGGAGACCCTGGCTCTTGCATCGCCAAACAAGACACTGCTCGTCCAGGAGGCCGCCGAGACCCTTCTCACTCACTGCTTTAACTTTGTACACAACTTCCCGTCCAGCAAACAAGGTCCGCAGATCACCACCTCCCTGATTGACGAATATGATGATCTCCAGTGCTCTCCGATCGAGGAGGAGACTCCACTGTTCTGCGTACTCCACGAGAATGCCCTCATATCGGTCGTTGAGATCCCCAAGCCAGCGCCTGAACAAGGCACTCTGGCACGACTTTTCATCCGTGATGCCACTGGAAAGTATGTCTGGGACTTTGACAACCTTTATGATCCCCTCGGCATGGGCTCAGCAAACTCCACACACAATGATCGATCGCCTCTCTCCCTGATCAAGATGTTCATTGATCAACGACAGTCTGGCGGTGCTGACCTAGCCCTGGCTCCAGTGGTCATTGACAACCTGACCTACTCATACAATAATGTCGTCTCACTCAACAAGACAAAGCCTGAAGCAAAGGTCGATGGCATACTGAGCAACCTACTTCAGTCACTATCCAGCCAACCTGACTGTATGCCGGAAGGCGTCACCCATCTCAATCAACCTCTGGTATCGCTCCGCCCCAATCTGGTGCAGGAGTTCACCAACATCCAGAACGAGATCGAGTCATTCATCAAGCAAGAGCAGGACTATGTCGAAAAGGCATACCAACTCTCTCCTTTCAATGACACGTGGGACCTGCCAACACCATCAAAACCACCTCAGGTCATCTCTCAATCACGTCGTCTTCTAATGTCCTATCTTGGCTTCCTGGACATATCCAACGCGTCCTACTTCAAACAGCTTGAGTCAACACAGAAGTTGAGCAGGGCTCTGCAACAGCTGGACATCACGCCATCCCGAGACATCTTAAAGATTGGCGTGATCTATGTGGGCGAAGGCCAGGAAGAACAGCGCGAGATCCTGCACAACTACGCGTCATCCAGCCTCTACGATGACTTTGTCAACGGACTTGGCTGGCAGGTCGACCTGTCCACACATTTTGGCTACATGGGCGGACTGGACCGCAAGAAGACCACCGGCAATACGGCACCCTACTATGCCAACACAACAATGGAGACGATCTTCCATAACATCTCTTCGATGCCAACCAACACATCTGAGCCGCAACAGATACACAAGAAGAGGCATGTTGGCAACGACATTGTAAACATCATATGGTCAGAGCACATCAGAGACTATGCGCCAACAACAGTGACGAGTCAGTTTAACGACGCTCACATCATCGTCTATCCTCTGCCAAACGGCTTATATCGAATCCAGATCTACAGGAAGGAGGGAAAGGTGCCAATGTTTGGTCCGCTCATCCATGGCATGGCGGTGAGCAAGCAGATGCTCTCCACGTTGGTTCGCCAGACGGCGGTCAATGCTTATCGATACATTAGAAACAGCACACCCAACTATTCGCGACCATACGCACTGCGCAAGATGCGAATCAATGAGATTGTCGAGCGGTACAGGTCCGAGAAGAACTATGTCGACTTTGTGCACTCGATCGTCTCTGGCTACAATCAATCGGCAGCAGTGGCAGCGGCCACTTCGCCATCAATGTCGCCATCTGTATCCAACCACGGTGTTGGCGGCGGAGGCGGTCAAGAAAAGACAGTTGCATTCGATCATAACTTGTATTAATAGTAAACTTCTAATTTGATTACATCCATCGATCAATCAATCAATCAATCACTATTGATTGTTGTTATTGTCGTCGTTTGATTGAGTATCTCTTCTTGTTAGAGATAGCTTGCTGATAAAGTCCAACTGAAGATCTTGGATTGGTGTCTGTGGTGTACTAGCTATAGGCAGCAACTCCTTTGAATCTGGTGTGGACAAGTTTGGAGTTCCAGTTGTTGAAGTCTTCAAGGGTGTGATTCCACTACTGCTGCTGCCGCTTGTCACTGGATGAGCAACAAGGTTTGTCACATTGGAGTAGTTTACAAAGTTCATAAGATAGTCATAGGCTCTTTCTGTCTTCTTGTTGCTTAGTACTGCTTGAGATGGCGCGAGCAATGGTCTGGACGTGATGAGAATGACGCGCTGCTTGGATCGCGTGAATGATACATTGAGTCGATTGAGGTTGTAGATAAAGTCGTGAGCCTTGTTGCTGCTGCTCCATCCATTGTAGCATACCACCACAGTGTCGAACTCTTGTCCCTGCATCTTCTCAGCAGTTCCAATCGATGGTTTGTGATCTGCAGCACAACCATGCTTGGCCTGTTCCGATATCACCATTAGCTGCATGTCTATCCTTTGTGCATTGAGTGGTGTGACAACGCCCAGTTGAAGACTTGACCAGAATGCATTCTCCAAGTCGTCTGCAGAATGCCAGGTTTGTTTTTGTTGGTTCCTGCGGATGAACCTCTCTCGCTCGTACATGTATATCTGTCTGACCAAGTCCACCTCGACCTGTCTGTTTCCAAAGTGATTGCCGTCGATCATCAGTGTGAAGCACGATCGTCCCGAGTCGTAGATGGACCGGATCACCTCGCTGTACGTACCCAGCAGTGCTGGTTCGATGGTCGGCTTCTGGTCAACATCAAAGCATCGGTATGAGTCGCCGTAGAGATACTTGGCAGCGAACTGACAGAGGTCGGGTGTCATTCTAAAGTTCTCATTGAGTGTCAAGAATGCCTGGCCACAGTTGTTCTTGATTAGCAGCGACTTGACACACGAGAAGACCGACTTGTGCACCTTGGGATCGTATGTTTGATTGTTGATGGCCAGCTCATGCTTGACGGCGTACTTGCCTTGCAACACAGGTGGCAACTGCAGATTATCGCCACAAATGAGATATCTATGTGCCAAATTCATGGCCATTGCTGCGATTGGTGTCTGCAGCTGGGAGGCCTCATCAATGATCAAGTAGTCAATTGGTCTTGATGTCTTGAGTGTGGATACACCCCAACAAGTGGCACCCACCACTTGGAATCTGTACAGGTTCTTTGCAGCTTGGTCGACCGTGAGCACACCATTGCTCGCCAGTGCTTGGCTAATGGTCTTCTCCTTCTTTACAATGTGGAAGTGGAGCGATGCGCCTGTGTAGGTCTCGTACTCTTTCTTGAGCTTGGCAATTCGTAGAAGAGCATTGTCGATGGCCGTGTGCGTCAATGCTGTAATCACAATGAGATAGCCCTCCTTGCGCTCCAATCTGATCCACGTGTCAAAGATAATGAGTACGAGCAGCGCCAAGAAGTGAGTCTTGCCCGTGCCGGGTGGTCCACGCACCAGTTGCAAACGCTTCTTTGATGCGTTCTCAACGACTTGTCGTTGTGATGGAGTCAGAGTCAATCTGTTGTCCATTCTCTTGGTCGTGTCTGTTTGATTGAGTGCCTCTATGGTATGTTTCACCGCTCTGGCAAAGTCAGCATACTCCTCCGACTCGCTCGTCCATTTGGCGGGGTTGTTGAACAAGTCCAACATTGGTGAGTTTGCCTGGCTGTCTATTTGTTCGTAGCTGGCTACCAGCCACTTATACTGTGAGAAGTAGTCTGTGTCGAACTTTTCAAACAAGATGTATGATTGTCTGAGGGAGGAATGGAAGGTGAGCAATTGAGTGAATGGGTGGTTGAATGATTGTTTACATACCGTTTCTCCAACACTACGTCCTTGGGAAGTGCGAGTGTGATGTTGGCAATGACGAATGAGTCAAATGTGTCGGCTGGCGAGACTAATATCTTGGTCACCTCGTAGATGCCCGTTGGTGCCATGAAGTCGAGATCATCGTATTGTCGAAGCAGCTTGACACCATCGTGTGAGTAGTGGACCATGGCAAAGTGGGCAAAGGTGTCCTTGAGTCTCTGCTCAAAGTATGAGTAGTATTGCTGATGTATCCTCGTCTGGAATCTACCATCGTCCATCAATGTCATTATGAGGTACTTTCCATCATGTATATTGATGTCCACCGAGCATGATCGCACGGACCTGATCATCCTATACTTGGCCATCAGCTCAAACTGATAACAATACATCAACTTGTTGATCAAAGGGTTGACATACTTGAGAGCACTCCTTTGTTTGAACTTATTGATTGATGTGAGTCAGTTTATGGCTCAATCATTCATTCGATCAATCAGACATACATACCTTCTTAATCTTTTGCTCATGGGACTGAGCAGTGAACAAACGAACTCGGAGATTGGTGATGACTTGGTGGAGATAGTCCACACGCTCGATGAAAGGAGCGCAGTCTGGAAGTCCGGGCTGGATGATGGTGGCGAATATGTGGTCGGGCAGGAGGCTCGTTGGCGCGGTCTTGAGTCCAAGCATTGAGCATGCAATGTCTGCCAAGGTATAAGGTGGGTATATATTAATGGCGAGCGCTTGCATTACCTGTTCCTTAATGACGACAAATGGCGTTGACTTTGCACCAGAGCCCTCCTTGCCATTCTTTGAGTTGTATGAGAATGGCTCGTGGGGGTAGTAGCCTAGATTGAAGTTGATCCAGTCCGAGTCATCGTAGAGCACCGCCAACACCTGCACAACGCTCTGGAAGATGGGCGAGTCTGGCTGGTTGGCCGTGAGCAGCTCGCGGCATAGACTGAAGAAGTATCCCCTCTCGAATGTGTCCCAGATGAACACCTGAAGCGTCCTCTTGGCACTATTCTCGGTGAACAACGAGGCCATCAAGGACACCATGTCTGCAATCTTTTCTCCTGGTCCGGTGTATGTTGCTGGACTCTTTAGCCCATCATATACAGTCAATGTCCAGTTGAACAATGTCTGCTTCTGGGGGTGCGACACCAAAGAGATGTAGAGTGCCACATCTTCATCGATCGGGAAAAACACGTTGTTGAATCCAGTGAGCTCAACACTATGTGTGAGTGCAGCCTGGAGACGAGGCTGCATCTTGATGAACTCGCTCTTGAGCTCAAGGTCCTTGATAATGTCCGGATCGATCTTGCACAGCCTCTCTACCTCGCTCAGTGGCTTGGTCTCGGTCGAAATCGCGTCGTCTTTCTTCAATGCGAGTAGTGTTTCAATAGTATAATGTTTGTGCATGGCGATGACGTTCCTGCTGCCCTCGGCCTCGGCCTGCTTCGTACACTGAGGCAGGTACTCACAGCCCTCGCACGCCTCGCTCAGCGTCCAAGGACTATCCATCTTGCGTTGCTTGAGTATCTTGACCAGCAGACTCTCGGGATCGCTCGAGTCGCCATACATGAAGCGTCTAAGCTTCTCGACGGTGGACACCAGGTCAAAGTCCTCAGGCACTGGTCGTGCCTTTAGATAGATCGCCCCATTATCATCGAGGTCAATATCTGTGATGCCTTCCAACTTGAAGACCTCAACGAGCAAGATGTAGTAGTAGGCCAACTGCAAGCGTTGTGAGAACTTGATTGTTGATGTGGACTTGGCATCGAGGATCTTGATTGTGCGTCTTCCAGTTGTCGGGTGGAATGTTACACTGAGGAAGTCGGGAATGGATCGAGAGAATGTAATGTTCGTTGGGAGGTTTCCACGGAACTCCTTGGGCACCAACAATGTTGATTGGAACAAATAGAAGTCACCCTTCTCCTCCTTGAGAATCCTGATAACCTCTTGATAGGGTATACTCTCTCCGTCCTTCTCCCCAGGTAGGAACACTCTATGTTTAGCCTGCTTGAGTATGTCCAGTACCTCATTCTCCCAGACAAAGCCATCCAATCTTATTGCCTCTGCAATGGTTGTTGGTGTTGTCGTTGTCGTTGGACTCTGGGTTGATGTTGTCGATGTTGTTGTTGCTGATGAGGATAATGATGATGACTTGGATCGTGTTGACCAACTGAGATATCGTTCACAATTGAAGTGAAAGTAACGTCCCAAGCCAGAGGCCTTGATTACAGCTGGCTCCATGTCTTGATACTCGAGTTGGATGTGTCTAGTGGATGATGGTTTGATCAAATCAAACTCATACACTGGTCTGACACTTGTTGGTTGACTCAGTGCCTGTCGACGTGGAGGCATTGCCGAAGGAGGTGTTCTAAGCAAGCCACCATTGTTTGTTTGTTGATTATCAGGTGTGCCAGGGGTTGATGTTGTTGATGTAGTTGACGATGACATGTACTTTGTTGGTGTGACTACCTTTGCCTGTGCTGTCTCATTGTTGTTGTTGCTATTGATAGACATATCCTTTAGACCTTCTTCGAGTCCAGACTGTTGTAATGGCTTCAACTCATAATCTACTATCCTCATGTTGTTGATCACCAACTCTTTGTTGCCGTCAATCTTGAATGTACTTGGCAAAGAGAGTAACTCTCGTATGAATGTTGTTGATGCATGTTCTGTGATAACATCACCATTGTCACGTGTACCAACAAAGCAATATTTGTTATTGACGTATGTGATGGTGCAATTATATCTCTTGCCCTCATATATGAAATGACATTGAGCATTAACATCAACTAGTCCATCCTCTATAAGTGTAGTCAATGTCCTATTCCTTCTTGTTGTTGTTGTTGTTCCACCTGTTGACACTCTTAACTTGTTCTGTCCTTTGCCATCATTATCCATTTGTTCAAAGTATATGTATGTTTATGTGATTGCGTAAGATGAACTTGAAATGAAGTGACCCAAAAAGGCAAACTTAACTCCTCTGAGGGTTGACCATTCACTTCTTAGAAGTGACTGTCAACATAATAACACTTGTCATTGACATTCAATCATTTATCAAAGAGATAAGAGATAATAAATAATAAAGGTGACAGATGTTTAATAATAATAATAAATAAATTAATAAATAAATTATATATAAAATATGTATAGATTAACAGAGGATGAAGGTAATGAACAACAAGGCAAGTACAGAGTATACGCTGATGATGACCTTGGATGAGGAGTTTGGAAGCTTCGAGTCGGTAGTACCGGCAGGGGCAGTGGTGGATGCATCAGTTGTAGTCGATGCACCAGTTGTGGTCGACTGGCTAGATGTGGACGATGTAGTTGGCTTGGTGGTAGTGGTGGATGATGTTGTTGGCTTAGTAGTAGTTGTTGTTGGCTTGGTGGTAGTAGTGGAGGATGTAGTTGGCTTGGTGGTAGTGGTTGAGGATGTGGTTGGCTTGGTGGTAGTGGACGAGGTGGTGGAAACTGGAGTGCAGCTACCAGTCATGAACTGTTGAGTCCAGTAGGGAGTACCACTTGATCCAACCTTCATTCCCAAACCTATAAAGGTGTAGTCTCCAATCATGTTGGCATAATGACCTGGACTGTTCTTCCACGATGAAATAACACTGTCATCGGTTTGTTGACCGGCTGCAACGTTCTCTGCGGCATTTGACATGCTGTTTGCACCATATACCTCGAATCTCTCAAACAATCCTCCATTTGGATCGTCGTGAGTCATTGTGGAGGTGCTAAATTATTAAGAGTAAGTAATTATGTTATGTATTCATTATAAGAGGTGTCGTGATGACCCTTACCTTGCTTGGTATTCAGAGTGAAATTGGGCGGAATCCATAAGACATGGGCTTATTTGGATAGCTGCCTTTCCGGCATCGGCACGAATACCATTAACCAGAGACAACTGGTAGGTAGGGTTGAAGCTGACAGCGGCCAAGACACTTGACAATGTCAGCGATAGTAAGAATATGGTAACAATTAATCTCGACATATTATAATATTTGTAGGTTAGTATATATATATTTGTTTAAATTTACAACAAAGGTAAGTTATTTAGATTGATTGATTGAACTGTTTTAATGTTTAATGGTCCTTTAGTTGCCATTGGTAGATGGATGATGGCTTAGCCACTTCTCATTGGGTCTGGGATTGATTTGGATGTTTGAATGATTATTGATTGATTGACTTGAACAATGTGTGGAAGATAACTTGTTAGAAGTGTAGGTTGTGGACATCAAACAACCACACAATGTCATCATCCATATTTGGGTTCCAAAAAACAATCAACTCGCCAGGTCCACTGCGCCCTTCACGTGACACACTCTCTAGATTTATGTAGAGAATGGGGGTAGTGCAAAGGTTCCGATAGTGGCTTGATCCACCAGCCCATTTCTTAAGGCCAAAAGTTTTACAAAGAAAAGGATAAATCTGTCGATAATAATCTGATCGTTTCTTCAATACCCAACTCTTCTATATTATTTGGAAGGAATGGTGATATTTAGACGTCTTTATAAGATACAAAACAGGTAAATAGAATATAAAAAGTTGTAAAATCGACCCAAAAAAACTGTTCAAAACCAGATTATCAAATATTTTCCCCCACAGCTTCTGTGGCTCAGTCGGCAGAGCGTTCGGCTGTTAACCGAACGGTCGTTGGTTCGATCCCAACCAGGAGCGACCATTTATTTTATTCAATATTCAATTTTTTTAGGTATTCAGTGACCTTAAATAAATAAACAATGAAGGAAAATTAAAAACCGAAACGAGTGATACAGTTACTATCTGTTACTCGATCACTCAATCTAGCAAAGTCAATACATCAACTCTCAATCAACAACAGCTGTACTCAGGTGAGTGCCCTGTCACAGATTACAATGGGAGCGGAGTCTTTCTTCGCAAGGTATGGCCCGATCAATGATCGTGCGCCACCCTCATCGCAGTCATCATACGACGTGCGTATCTTCTACCCTGGCGCAGCGCTGCTGCCAGAGGACTACATGAAAGGTCTGCGCTTGCACATGCGTGTAAGCAGATCGTACCCATCAGGCACTGCTGCCTCTAAGGATAGCAGTGCACTCCGTGGCTTGACCGTTGAAGGTAAAGCCTACTCTTCTGCAGAACTCAGCAAGCTTGTCGAGCACTTCCGCAGCAACGCTTGCACCCTCACTGGCGCCTCGTCACCTGTCAGCGCCCGCCTGTTTGTGCCATCCCACCACTTCGTCGAGATGACGTTTGTGGCCACCAAGGACGACGGCGCCCGTACCAAGCCGACAGACATTTCAGAGTTGTGTCCTCCTTCGTTTGTACATCACCATGTCGCTGGCTCTCGTCACACGATCACACTGCTGTGGCCCTCAGCCACTCAGTTCGAGTCACTCAAGGACGACATCATGGTCAACCCCAACGTGGCTGCCTCGCGTGTCGTGCCCTTCAAGAAGCGCTCGAGCACCCGCGCCCGCAAGGCGCGCAAGCAAGCTCAGTCCGTGTCCGCCAAGGCTACGCCTTCCAAGACGACGCCCAACAAGCCCGCGGCCGACAAGCCTGTGAGCTCACCTCCCAAGACCGACAGCGCCGAGGCCTCTGTCGCTTCCTCCTCGAGCGATCGCTCGCACTCTCCAACAAGAACGGAGCCCGCGGCCATGCCGTCTACACCTGTCGTCGTCAAGAACGTCACCCCACTGGGCAGATCATTGTCGACCTCACCTTCCTCGCCGTACACTGCCCCAAGGGCTGCGGCGCCACCTGCTACTCTGGCCAGCGCATCTTCAAGCGCCGCCACCGAGTCGCCGGCACTGTTGAACAGTGTCAAGAAGATCCTTGCCCCCATCTCCTTGGCATTCAAGAGGAAGAAGGACGTGGCCGCTGCCGAGTCGGTCGAGGTCGATCCGTCCACCCCTCCCAAGCCCGACACCAAGAAGCCCAAAGTGGTCCGTCGTTCTAGGACGACCAAGAAGTCATGATGACCTCATTGGATATCATGCTCTGGAATGTACAGGGCTCTTCCAGAGCAGACACAGCATCATCGGTGTTTAATCACCTGACGCTGCACGGCCCTACCCTTGCTCTCCTCACGGAGACGAACGGCGACGACGGAGAAGTCGTCGCCCTCACCGCCCGTTACCCAAACAGGGCGGTCACCAACGCCTCGGGCAGAGGCACTGGTGTCGGCCTGGTGAAGCCCTTGGGCTCCACCCTCAAGGCAGACACTCTCTTCGCCGACAGGCTTGGCCGCACATTGTTGGTCCGTGTGAACGAGCCAAACTACACCATTACGATCCTGTTGGTGTACGCGCCTGCCTCGAATGCTGGCAGGTTGGACTTTGTCACCACCCTGCAGAACTCTCAAGCGATCTTTGACAACGACATCGACGTGATCGCAGGCGACTTCAACACGTGCGCAACTGATCGTGACGACTTCACATTGTTCATCAACGAGCTGGCAGCCCTCAACGATCTTGTTGACACCGGCGCCCATGATAACATCCCCACCCACAAGTCGTTGTCGAGCGGTACGGAGAAACGCCTCGACCGACTGTACGTCCGGTCCACCCTGGTGGGCCCTCACCGCGCCAAGGTAGATGTATCCCATGCGCACACCAAGTCAGATCATCACCCCGTACTGATAACAGTATACCCAAAACAGATCACCCCAACAGGACACAGATGGATACTGAGGAAGGAAACGCTTGCGWCTCCTGCCGCGATGGACTTGGTCCACGGCACTCTCAGTCGCATCACACCCTCTGGTCTGTCCACTTGGCTCAGCATCAAAGAGGCGCTCATCTCGCGGCTCAAGGCGGAGCAGGCTCGCAACGCCGGCGAGCGAAGGAGGATCATAGTGGAACTCAAACGCTACCTCGCTCGCCCGCCACCAGGGGCCACACCACACCGGCTTGATCAGTCCAGGCTAGCCGACCTCCTCGAGTCTGCAAAGGTCGAGAAGGAGGCACAACGAAGGGACGCTGAGCTTGGCATGGAAATGCCAAGCAAGTACCTCACTCGCATCGCCAAGGGTAGGAAGACCGTTGATCTGATCACCGAGATCTACGGCGAGGATGGCGCCGCCACCTCTGACCCTCCCGAGATACGCAAGGCATTCCACTCGTTCTACTCCAAGCTCTACACCAAGGGCGCCGACGACGCCGATGAGCATGAGAGACTACTGTCCCACTGGAGCCCGGACTGCCGGGAGCACCTCCAGCCACTCGAGGAGCCCATCACGGCCGATGAGGTCCTCTCCGCCAAGACAAGCAAGGTGACCCTCTCTCCCCGACGCTCTTTGTGCTGGTCATTGAGGCACTGGCAGCAGCAATCAACGCCGACCAATCCATCGTGGGCCTGCCTGTGTCACCGCCCCTCGACACATTAGTCGACGGCAAGAAAGTCTCGACCGTCCGCAAGAAGGTCAAGCTTCTCCAGTTTGCCGACGACACTGCAGCGCTCACCAGGTCACTCGAGGAACTCTTGAGAGTGATTGAATGGTTCAAGGTCTTCTGCAAAGCCACCTCGTCAGCCATCAATGTCGACAAGTCTGTCCACATTGTCCTGGGCGATGCACCAACGTCTGAACTCCCCTACCCAGTGGCCACCGAACCTGAAAGGTACTTGGGCGTCAACTTCACCAAGCAGGGCATCTACTCCAAGTTCAAGACTCTCATCAGCTCCCTCCGCGGCAGACTCTCGCTCTTCAAGTCTGAAAGCACCACACTGCGGTCTAAGGTTGCAGCTATCAAGTCTTACGCCCTCCCCCCTCTGATGTACCACTTCTATCTGGACTCACCGACCAAGTGGCAGATCAAGAAGATCGATAACCTCACCAAATGGTTCATCTCAGCCCCCAAGGCCACCGCCTACGGCTCCAGCTTCATCAACACGATGGCACTGGACCGCGCCAGCTTCCATTGGGATGAAGGTGGCCTCAACCTCTGGGACATTGGGCTCAGATCAATTGCCTACAAGGTTTGGGTGTTCAATCGTTTCCTCAACACCCCAGCCCACCTCACCCATGGCTACCTGGACTCGTGGAGAACTCAACACCGCAACGCCAGGAAGTGCCTGGGCGGCAAGTTCACTGGTCTCTTCCTCAAGTTCCACACACCTTGGATGGAGTTCCGCTCTGCCCACCTCTCCAGCCATAGCGACAAGGTACCACTCTTGGACAATAATGGTATCACCCTCAGTCTGAAAGACATCTATGCCATCCTCTGGAAGGCAAAGTATGGCTCAATCAGACTGACCGAGGGTCAATGGCAGCTCAGTGTCTTCCACGGCCTCAAGCTCCCAGACATCTTCAAGGTCATCAGCACCCTGAGAGGACCTTCTTCACGCAACGCCCTCTTCAGGTTCTTCTCCCATACTCTCCCGATCAATCATATGAGAGCAGACGCTGACTGCACTCTCTGTGGCAACTCCTGCACRGACCAACCCTACAATCACTTCTTCTTTGACTGCAGCAAAGTGGCGACCCAAGAAGCCATGCGCCCAGCCTTAGACTTGGTGAAGCAACGCTCTGGTATCAACGTCAGAGAATGGAACATCAAAGCACTGGACATCTCCACGAAGTCTCGTCGCCCCAACCTTCCATTCATCCACCTCATGGCAATCATTGTCAACTACCTCTGGCACTACATCGCCAACCACCTCTTTGGCAACAAGGAGGCCCCGTTGGCCAAGCTCA